TTCCTTGAGCGGAAGCTTCGACCTGTGCGCGACAATCTGGGCCGCCTTAAAAAGGCGACACCAAAGAACTACCCGCAGAAGGAGACCATGGTCAAGGTCCTTAAGATTGAGTTGATCGCCATCGGCAACTTCATCCGCGCAGAGACTCGGGATAATGTGGAGCTCGAGGATCGTCTATGGTAAGCATGCATAACGATGTTCTGCACACAGACGCTAACTAATGACAGGAACTACACCATCAACCACCATTGGCCTCGGCCTGGCGTCACTGTCGCGGCTGTCAAGGGCATGTACAACAAGATGCTGAGCCAAGAGAAGCCAGCGGCGAGCGCGACTCCAACAAACGGACAAAAGAACGGCGCTTGAGGATCCATTCCTGTACGGATGCATAGTATGCCTATACATCATTCATAACTCATATCATCGGCATATGGGCGTTTTCGATTTCTACGGCGGCGGCACACACCGTCATGTATATTTGCAGCATAGCGTAGGTGTTCGGCTCGGTTGACTACTCAAGATATGACTAGTTACGGGCACTGTTTGATTCTTCGTCTTTCTCACTGTATTGCATGGACTGCCTAGTTAGGGCGCGTCCCGGGGTTTATGATTTTCGCTGGGCGGCGCAAATAAAAACTAGCGTACAGGTTGTTGAACAAGCATCGAAAGCACTTGGGATAGTGCACATGATATTTCAAGAAGGGAAGGTCTTTCTGCAAAGAGAGAATTCATCTTTAGCAACATGTAGATTCAGCACCTGCAGGTCTGCAATATGCAATGAACTACACACATCACCCTCCCGGCTCACTGCGTGATGTGAAGTTACTGCACGCTGATGTTGAGGTATTATTTTCGACTGCAGCCTTGGCTTACGTGAAGGATGAAATGTGATCACGCGAGTCATCTGCTGCCCAATCTTCAAGATCTACCGCCCTCCGGGTTGGATTCTTGGTTGTCTAGAGTATTCGACGGCCCACACGTGGCTTGGAAGCCAAGCGGTGAGTGATAGTTGGGGTGGTGGTTGCGGCATATTGAGCAACAGACACTGAGCAAATTCGAGGCGAAGAATGTCGGGCACTTGAACATCACACGATCAACGGACGCGTAGTACTAGCGAGACATGTGTGGCTGTGGGGAAGGGCATGTGTATGCCTCATGCTGGGGGATGTGTGGGAGATGTGCTAGTGCGCGGGCAATGACGCACCAATGACAAGGGTTGCTGAAGGATCGTGCTCCAGTGGTGGCTCCCTGTTGCGCCTTCCTTCCCCGACGGGCCATCAGGGTATCCTGTCTTCGGCGGCGGCGCTTCTACATAGTATTCCTGGATATACAGTCGCACGACACCCCAGAGTTGCTCGCAAATGCCTTGTCTTGACTCTTCACCATGATAGACATGCTGCGCGTACGGGACGTATGTTTATGCGGGCTGCTTTTCTGGGCACACGCGACAGCGGTCCCGCCTAACGCGGCAGGTGCTGCAGAAAACAGCCGCGATGCGGGTTCTGGATCCATAGACGCGGATAGTCGACGAAAGCTTGCGGGCAGGTTCCTCCATATTACAGGTACGTCTTATCTGATCTTCAGGGCAGAGTCGCGACTAACGTCATGATGCAGACTTTCATCCAGACCCATTCTACAAGACATATTCCAGCACAGAATCCGACGCGGCGTGCCATCGCAGACATGGACCCGCTGGCCTTTATGGCGCAGAAACTACCGGCTGCGACTCCCCCTTCGCGCTTGTCAACCAGACGTTCAAATGGATAGAAGACAACCTAAAAGACGATATAGACTTCATAATATGGACCGGCGACTCGGCGCGACACGACAATGACGAGGACATACCACGGACGCAGAAGCAGGTCATCGAGCAGAACGAGTACATGGTCTCCAAATTCGCCGAAGTTTTTGGACTGAGCGGCCAGGGCCATGGCCCCAACAGCTTCGAGATACCCATAGTACCGACTTGGGGAAACAACGATATCATGCCACACAATATTTTCACACCCGGCCCAAACAGATGGACCATCAAGTATCTCGACATATGGCGGGGCTTCATACCTGAGGCGCAAAGACATCAGTTCCAGCAAGGAGGATGGTTTTCAGTCGAGGTGATTCCAGGAAAGCTGGCTGTTATCAGCTTGAACACCATGTAAGTGGCAAAGGAAATCATATCTCTGGGAAAGAGACTGACTTGCGCAGATACTTCTTCACCTCCAACTCGGCTGTTGACGGCTGCGCAAAGAAACACGAACCCGGGTACGAACACATGGAATGGCTGCGCATTCAGCTTCAAATCCTGCGAGATCGCGGCATGAAGGCTATACTCATCGGCCATGTACCACCCGCTCGAGTCGACAGCAAAGAAAGTTGGGACGAGACATGCTGGCAAAAGTACGCACTCTTCGGGCGACAGTTCCGAGACGTCATCGTAGGAAGCCTCTATGGGCACATGAATATCGATCACTTCATGCTACAGGATTTCGAACATATCGAAAAGGATACAGAAAATGGAAAAATGGGAGCAATCAAAAGCAGGCCTTCGTTAGCCAACGATATCAATCTTCTTGAAGACGGAGAAGTAACAGTGGCGTCTGCGTCCGACTACTTACTTAATCTAAGAGAAGCCTGGGCTCAGCTACCTGCGCCCCCAGCGAAGTCGAACAAGAAGTCGCGCTCGAAGAATGTCGATGAAGGGGAGGACGGAGATTCGGTATGGGCATGGTTCGTATCCATGTTTGGGAAATCCTCGAAAGATCGGAAGGAAGAGAGGAAGAAGTATCTGGAGAAGATTGGTGGGAGATACGCTGAACGCTATGCGGTAACACACGTCGCACCCAGCGTAGTACCGAACTACTTCCCCACCCTTCGCATCATCGAGTACAATATTACTGGCCTGGAACACCTCAACGTAGCTTCTAGCCCTATCAGCCCACCAACGATCGATACACCCGTTGAGCAACTGCCGATCACCGCCACCAATTTCGACGACGATGAAGAATACTTACGAGACGTGGAGACTGCGCGAAAGAGGAAACACAAAGGCAGGAAAGACAAGAAGAAGCAACGAAAGTACAAATTCAAGGTTCCAGACGGCCCCTCGAAATCCGCCCCGCCTGGTCCGGCATACTCGCCCCAGACTCTAACATGGACGCGACATGTTCAATATTTTGCAAACCTCACGCACATCAACAACGACTTTCTCGAGCCTCCGCCGGAGATTGCCGAAACTGCCGCCGCCGAGACTACGATAAACGAAGACTCCGCAAGTACCATTTTCGGGTTTGCAGTCAGCCCCGATGGCAAGCTGGAGAACAAGAAGTGGAACGAAGGCAAGCATAAAAAACACCAGGGCAAGCAACCTCGGCCAGAGCCACATCCCAACGAGTTCGTATTCGAGATTGAGTACGACACGAAAAAGGACAGGGGGTTTTCCGATCTTACAGTAAGGCGGTGGGTGGAGTATGCCAGGAAGATTGGATCATCTGCATCGAAAAGTGCTCAAGTTGAAGAAGAGGAAGTAGCAGACATGGTCGGAGATGAAGATTTTGAGACGGATGAAGACGAAGACGATGAGCTCAATACGACGAAGGGAAAGAAGCACAAGCATAAGAAGGGGAAGAAAGGAAAGCATCATAAGAAACACAAGGCGTCAAGGGAATGGTTCACTTTCGTTAAGCGAGCATTCGTGGGCACCATGGATCCTCACGAAATCAAGCAATTGTTCAACGCGGGATCGTCATCATCAGAAGCATCGGAAGAGGCGCAGGAGGTTATGGAGTTGTAGGTGGTTGTTTGATGGATGCATTAGAGAGCGTTGCTGAGGCACGCTCATAGATACCCTTCTGGCGTTTGATGGCCGACCTTTTTTCTTTGAAGATTTTGTAGGGAAGATGTGTATATGTAAGTGGCAAGTGACGGGATGTGGGCAGTCTTAGCGTGCATAGCATATCATGATATGGTTGAACCTGTATTAAGAGGGAACGGGAACCAAAACAAGAATCAGTCTCATGTAATCGCGTACAAACTTACCCAATGCTAGCAGAAACCTGATTTCTGCATAGTCGATGAGAACCAGCCTTTGCACCGTATTACCGAAGTGCTTCACATGCAGTAGGTGGCGCACTGGTTGGTAGTCTGAATATACCGCATTCGGCAGCTTTCGCTAGAACCGTTGACGGCGGTACAGAACTATGTCAAAAGTTTTGCGCGCCAAGCTGCCGGTCCGCCCCAACACCATTTTGGGCAATACTTTTTTTTGGTGATAACTCATCGAAAACTGCATCTTTTTTTATGTTTAAAAAGCAGGATTTCATTATCGATAACTAATACCTTGCCAAAGATTCGTACGCCCTAGGCTTCGCGGGAACTTGATATTTGTCGTTGGCAGATTGGTAGGTCGGGGGTTACGGCTCTGAGTTACCGTGTTAGGCAAGTTTGAAAAGGTGTAGATCGCGGTGGGGAAATGTTCACTCAACGCCCCAGGTGAGCCAGGCGAGCGCGGTGTTGCGAAAGACACCTTTCCTGGCCACAATCCGCCACAGACGTTGCTAACAAATCCGATAATCTTTTGCGCGGTCGATATTCGGATTTTTCAAATGTCAAATGCATACTGTGCGCTCGATTCTTGCCTGCCTGCTTCCATGTTGTTCATGACAACGACCGCTTTTGTTACCACCAACCGGTCTCTAGGCTTGATGGTATGAGTTGGACTATGTAAATGCTTGGACAATACAGCAGGACCTTTGCATATCAGAGGGATCTTTACATAAGCTGTAAAGATGATAAGCCATTTGGGCACAATGAGCGATATGCTGAAGTTTCGTCTTTTCTAGCCAGCACAGTCGGCAGTACACTATTACATGATATGTCGTTGCCCGTAGATCACAAGTAGTCCAAGGATACAGATTGGGGACAAAAGCATTGAATCTGTTGCATTTTCCGTAATTGCTCCAACGCCATGCAGAATGCAAGTCATGTAGAAAAGGCATATTACACATCTAGCTCCATAACCTCAATGTTCCGTCTGCACCAGCCGACACACACCACGGCTCCCTAGGATGCCAGTCTAGGCCCATGACACCCAACCTGCTCTTGACCTTGTGTCCACGCAATACCTTCAGGGGTACGATAGTTGCATTCTCCATTAGGTCGCCTACAACCTTTCCATGGAAAATTTGGATGGTGCCGTCGTCGGAGGTATCGGCAAAAAGAGGTAGACCACCTTGATGGAAGCGTACTGCACGGATAGCCTCCTTGTGGAAACGAAGAGTCTTGTAGGGCTTGTTGGAGAGGTCGAGATCGTGCCAAAGGAGGCGCTGCATGGAAAGTCAGTGAATGCTTTACTAAAAGTTTGGTGTGACCGGAACTTACCTTGTCGTATGTTCCGACGATGATGTTGTCACCACCAGGATGTACGTCAATCGAGGAGATCCACTTGGCACCTGGTTGCAAGATTTTAACGAGTTCCTGCTTGGCGAGATCGTAGCTGCGGATGGTGTTGCGGGTAGCGACAAAGAAGATAGCCTTGGAAGGGTGGAACTGTGCGGTTTGAGCGATACCCTTCAAGCGGCGGAAGGGAAGTTGAGTGAGATGTTTTGAGACGGTGTGAATGGCTACTGCTGTGCTTTGACCCCGAGGCGATACTGTGGCGAAGTAGTCTCCTCTCCGGTGCCAGTTGACAATCTTGACAGCTGATCGGACTTCGACTTGAACCAGGACGCCCTTGTTTTCAAGGCGAGCTCCAGGACGGGACCATTTGCCAGGTGCTTGCTTGGGTGCTTCACCATCATTTGATTTCGGCTTCGACGTTGCGTAACCCCAACCTGCGTCGAGAACTTCGCGACTGGCCTGCTCAATGTCGGGTGACAGAAGAGTGAAAGGTACGATGAGATAGACGTTCTCGCCACAAGCCGCAGCGACTACGGCGGCGTCCTTGGTAGGTCTCCATTGTACGGCATCCACGGCCTCTTCATCTGACAACTTTGCATTCCAGACTTGGCGACCTGTCAAAATCTCCCAGATTCTCACATAGCCATCGTCACCTCCGCTCGCAACAAAGATACCGTTGGGATCGATCGATACACAACGGACGCGTCCTTCTTGTCCACGGAATATCGCCGCGCAGGTAGTTGGGAAAGGCTTCAGTTCCTCCGGGTTAGGTAGCTTGGGGAGAAGTGATTCAGGGTCGATATTCAGTCGATTCCTTCGAATACGAGGAGCCAGGTAGAGATCCAAGCTTCGCTCAAATCGCTCCTTGACGAATGTCTCATAACCAGGAACCTTGCGCAACGCAGCGTAGTCCTTGGGCAGGAAGTCCGTCTCTCGGTCCTCCTCGTCTTGTTCCAGCCATGCCTGCTCCTCAGCCTTATCCGGTAGATACTCGGGCGGTGGGTGGTAACTCGCTTCGTAGCCAGGTGGTGGCAGCTTAGGCGCAGGAATATGCATTGAGTTGTCTGGTCGTGGCTTCTCGTCGGCCCATACATCGAAAGTGAAAACGTCCTGCTCCTCTTCCTGCTCCTCAGGTGCCTTGTACGGCTGGATCCTGCCTTCTCTGATCGCCTTGACGAGCTTCATGACACGCTTCGCCTCGTGCTTGGAAGGAATGAATCGTCGCTTAGGCTCTGGTGCAGCGCTCAGTGGCATAATCTCCTGGTGGCCAGAGAAGTAGGCGACCATCTCTGGGTATGGGTCATATCCATCCTCGACCACCTCGTTCCTTGTGAGCTTCTTGAGTACCTGCAGCTCCTCGTCCGTCAGGTTCAGCGGCTTTCCTGTCTGAGGATCCGTCAAGCCTGTCCAACCCTTCGGTATGTCGATGCTGTCCAACAGCGCGTCCAGTGCTTCGCCCTTTGCTGGGCGCATGATCTTCTTGCCATTGATATCGTAGCCAATATGCGGGTATTCATCGTAGTACTTGAGGTCGATGTTGCCGATCGTGTTCGTAGCTTCGGCGTCAGAATCGTCCGACTCGTAGACTGGGTCGATTTCCTTGTAGATGTAACGAGTATTGCCGTGCGCGTCCGTTGTGACAGTGTAGTTGGGCTTGAGATCTTCATCATCGTCCAATGCTCCTGTTGCATTGCCATAGGCGTCCAGATCCATCTCATGTGTTGGTACTCCATTCTTCTTGCGCAGCGGAACATCTGAGGTGTTCAGATTGCGCATTTCCTCACGAATTTGCTCCGAGTCGCTGTCTTCCTCCTCCTCTTCGTCTTCGTCAGACAGGCCCTCGATCACACTGCTGGCATCGGTATCGGCATCTTCATCTTGGCTGTCGTCCGAGTCGTCCTCGGAATGCGACAAGATGCCTTCCAGCAATCCGTCGCCCAGCTCGTCCTCCGATTCGCTTGGCTCGGGCGCCGGGCGCGTAACTACCTTTCTCTTGCGCGGATTGACAGACATATCTGGTGTTTGATGTTCACTTGTCACGTTCACCTCGGACTGTCGCAACTTCCCAAAAATTATCGCTAGCGTCCAAGATTTCGGTTTTAGCGCGTCGCACGTGCCAGGCGACCATCAGCCAAGGAAACATGCTCGGGGACCCTATTCGTTACAACTTTCAAACTCCGCAGCTCACTTATACCCCACGCAATTGCACCCGCCCGCATCTGCTGCTCGAGGACGCCACATTCAAACTGATTACAGCAGTAACTTCACCGACTCAAGATGGCGACGCGCCACACTGATTACGATCGTAGACGCCATTCCCCGCGCCGAGACCGTGACCGCGACCGCGGAGATCGTGGAGACCGCTATGGCGAGGGACGATTTAGAGACGACCGTGACCGCCGGGACCGCCGTGATGACCGGAGAGAGCGGGACCGCGACACGTACCGTCGACGTTCGCGCTCTCCACCACCTCGCCGCCGCGACCGATCTCGAGACCGTGGCGACCGTGGTGTAGACCGTGGAGACAGCTACAGGCGCGACCGCGATGGCGACAGAGACAGGGACAGGCGTCGCCGCTCCACTTCTCGCCGGCCTGGTTCTCGTTCCTCTGTCACACCGGCACCTGGATCCGACAGCTACAGGCGTGATGACAGGCGCGACGACAGGCGCGATCGACTGGAGCCTTCCTCGCGCGACGAGAGGAAGAAAGATCCCGAGACGCAGGTCAAGGACAAGCTCGCTGACCGCGCTGCGAAGCTGGCCGAGTGGAAGAAGCTCAACGCAGAGCGTCTGGGCAAGGAGAAGACGGATACGCCTGGCTCTGGTGCTTCACCAGCTATTACTGCGCCTGCAACACCCTCGGCTGCTGCGACACCTCCGCCGGCCCCAGTGGCTGAAGCAAAGCTTGATACCGCTAAGACCAAAGCTGTTCTACAGAAGAGCGCTACTGAGAAACTCAAACAGAAGCAGCCCGAGAAGTCGACCTTCAGGCTGGATGCTTCCGCCGCAGCACGCCCACTAGATATGGCCAAGCCTGCTGGAAAGACTGTCACCGCTAGTAGTAAGTCTTTCTCTGGATCCTCTGCTACGAACCACAGGCTGACCCTTGCAGAACCTCCCGTCGCTAAGGCTAATGGTAACATTGGTGCTTTCGGTCTCAAGACTAAGACTGCCGCTGAGACCGAAGAGGAGACTTCCAGAAAAGCCCTGCTCGACGAGGAAGGCCCCACCAAAAAGCGCAAGCTCCAGGCCCTCCCCGAGTTTACCACCAACGACGAACCCGAGCCTGAGGCTGATGGCGCTGACCACGACTCCGAGATGAGTGGAATCGGCAGTGACGACGAAGAGAACAACGCCGAGTTCCAGGCTCGCCTTGAGAAGCGTCGTGCGGAGATCGCCAACGAGAACCAAGCAGACGCAACCATGGGAGAAGCATCTGCTGTCGAAGCCCCCGCCGACGACAAGATGGAAGTTGACGAAAATGCAGGCGCCGAAGAAGATGAAATCGACCCTCTCGATGCCTTCATGGCCGATCTTTCTGAGCCACAACCAAGCCGTGGGGCTCCTTCGGGTCAAGCTATGTTTGCTGACGAGCTTGAGCCTGTCGAGACCTCTGTCGAGGCTGAAGACCTTCTCGCCCTTCGTGCTGCAAAGAAGAAGAAGAAGGAGGTACCTACCGTCAACCACGATAAAGTTGAGTACGAGCCATTCAGGAAAAACTTCTACACTGAACCCTCCGAAGTTGCACAGATGACACCTGAAGAAGTTGCCGATCTGCGTCACGAACTTGATGGTATCAAGGTCAAGCCGGATGATGTACCCCGTCCCGTCACCAAGTGGGCCCAGATGGGCTTGCTGCAAGCTACCATGGATGTATTCACTAAGATCGGCTATGAGAGGCCCACGGGTATCCAGTCTCAAGGTGTGCCTACAATCCTCTCTGGTAGGGATCTTATCGGAGTAGCCAAGACTGGTTCCGGAAAAACACTCGCCTTTGGTATCCCTATGATTCGTCATGTCCTTGATCAACGCCCTTTGAAACCTACTGATGGACCCATTGGATTGATCCTCGCTCCAACTCGAGAGCTGGCACTCCAGATTGTCAATGAGCTCAAACCATTCCTCGCTGCATCTGGCGTTACGATCAAGTGTGCTTATGGCGGTCAACCCATCTCCGATCAAATCGCTATGATTAAGCGTGGAGGCATCCATATCTTATGTGCAACTCCAGGCAGAATGATTGATCTGACAAACGTCAACCAAGGCAGAGTGCTTTCTTTCCGACGTATCACTTATGTGGTCCTTGATGAAGCTGATCGTATGTTCGATATGGGCTTTGAGCCTCAAGTCATGAAGATTCTTGCGAATGTACGCCCTGATCGTCAAACTGTCCTCTTCTCAGCAACTATGCCAAAGAACATGCAGTCCTTGGCTCGCAAAGCACTGCATGATCCAGCCGAGATCACCATTGGTGGCAAGAGCAAGGTTGCTCCTGAGATCACTCAGGTCATCTCTGTCGTCCCGAATAGTTATGAGAAGAAGGTTCACAAGACGCTGCTATATCTTGGTCAGCTGTTCTCTGAAGATGAGAATGCCCAGGTGTTGATCTTCACTGAGCGACAAGAGACAGCTGAAGACCTCTTGTCCAAGCTTTACAAGTCTAAGTATTTCTCTGTCAACACGATACATGGAGCCAAAGATCAGACCGATCGTAACGAAGCGATCAATGACTTTAAGCAAGGTGTTCTTTCTATTCTTATTGCCACATCTGTAGCAGCTCGTGGTCTTGATGTACCTGGACTGGCCATGGTACTAAACTTCGATTCACCTACCCACTTGGAAGATTACGTGCACCGCTGCGGACGTACCGGTCGTGCTGGTAACAAGGGCACAGCCATCACACTCATCGAGAACCCCGGTCAAGAGCGCTTCGCACTCCACATTGTCAAGGCACTCAAGGAGAGTGGTACAGAAGTACCTCCAGAGCTTCAAGAAATGGCTAACACGTTCCATGAGAAGGCCAAGGCAGGTACCGAGAAGTACTACGGTGGTTTCGGTGGTAAGGGTCTTGACAAGCTTGACGCAGCACGTGCTCTTGAGAAGAAGCGCGAGAAGCGTCAACTCAAGCTCGAAGGTGTTGATGAAAGCGACGAGGAGGAGGAGATTGCGCCGATCATTAAGAAGCCTGAAGTTGCTGGTCCGGGTGTCGTCAAGGCCGCTGACCCTGCTGCAGCTGACGCCGAGGATCAACCACACTGGATGAAGCTCCTAAACAGTAAGATTGTGGTTAGCAAGACCGAACGCCCTGAAGCTTCTGCTTCTGGCAAACCGATGACCGCGCGCGAGCGAGCAATGGCCGCTGCTTCCAAGGTCGACGGAAGACTGAGCAAGAAGGGTATGATCCACGCAGGTCAGCCCATCGACAACAAAGGCCCAGATGCTGGTCTTTATCACTCGACTATTGAAATCAACGACTTCCCTCAGAAAGCTCGATGGGCCGTCACCAACCGCACCAACGTCGCCAAGATTCTGGAACAAACTGGTGTCTCTATCACGACCAAGGGCAACTTTTACCCAGCTGGCAAGCAGCCTGGTGAGACTGATCTTCCTAAATTGTACATTCTTGTAGAGGGCGATACCGAAAACATCGTCACACAGGCTATGATGGAGCTTACCCGTCTTCTACGCGAGGGGACAATTGCAGCTGAGGACGCATCTGCGACTCGCGGACCAACTGGGCGTTATTCAGTTGTCTGAGAGACTTGATAAAGGTAAATTCCGCTTGTTGCAATCTTTTTTCTTTTCCATGGCGTCAGTTCACTGCATTGGGAGGGATGGTTCACTGGATTGATCAGAATGGCATCGGATGGAGTTAAAGGTTTTAATAAGACTACGCTTGAGAGAGTAGTATCGGCTTCACCACATATCCCTTGGCTGTACTAAAACGTAAGTGCTGGCCTGACACACCGCTTAATGTTTTCTCTGATTTACACACCCCGTCGCAGGTCATTTCTTCGTTGATGGGCTTCTACCATGGCAAAAGGACCACGGTGTTGAAGTTGCGACCACATCATTGTACGTTAATGGATCAACCACGTAGTTCACCGATATATCACGTGGGAATGATCAGTCTTGATTTCAGGAGACGCAATATTTCGTCAAGATCTAGTTATAGGTCTCACTACCAGTTCTGTATTTCCATACACAAGTGTGCCCACAGATGGTGAACAAACAAAACTTCTCAGAACATGCGTGCCAATATACATGCAAGCGAATGTCGGCGAGTTATGCTCTCTGACCTAAATCCCTTGGTATGACTACGACCTATTGCCCAGTATGTAATGACGTACCGATGCAGATACTAACTGACGGCGGTATCGCCAGCCAGGATCCATTAATGGTATTTTACATGCATGTCGGACATGTGCCTGTGTTGGCGCCGTAGTTGCATGCATCCTTCCTCCCAGTCCACAGGCCGACTAACAGACCTGCTGCAAAGAGTGCATCTAGCGTCCATCTCTGCCTATTTTAAGAATCCTACAGGAGTCTGTGGGGGGCAAGGTCCAGTGAAGATTTCTGACAGCGTGGTATTCCTCCCAATGGTGATGGTGGGCGGCGCGTGCTTCCAGAAAACACAGCCTTGCCGCCACTGAGATCTGGATCTGGATATCCCTTGGTCTCGAATGCAGGTCGGCAACCCAGCTTCAGGGCTGATCTTACAAAAGTGTTTTGGGGGCCAGGTCACGGAAGTGTGAAGGATTTGCTAAATCAATATCTCCACGGGAGGACATACCAGGTTAATTGGTTGGTTGAGAAGGCATGCTGTGTGATGCTGCATGGCAAGGAGAGTCGATCTCACATGTATTGGAGAGAGATTAGCTTAGACGTTGGAGGTATCCTTGCGTGATAAGGCGTTCAACGTCGCCATGCCGGACGTAGAATTGCGAGTTCTTGGTCAGGGTTATGGACCTTATAGTCAGTTAGCAGAGGCGTGGTATTGGGCATATTGTCCCGTTAAAGAACAACCTTCGGCATGCCGAGATTGTCATCACGTACCCGTATTCCGTCTGTATTTCGCCCGCATCCTTTAGGACGCGAACGTCGATGAACAGATCGCGAGGCGGCTCCAGACTCCCCGTCAGATCGATGTCGGTCCATTGCCCCTTGTACGCAGCAAGCAGATCGCTGTACTGCCTCACGTATTCTTCCTCTTCTGGACTCAGACTGCTCTCTTCTTTTCCGCCTCCGGCACCCATACCATTCCCCCTCCCTCCTTCTCCACTATGGTCCTTGCTGCCCTGTTGCTCCAGCACATCGATACCCTCCCAGCAGTATTCCTCCAGTTTGTCGCTCCGCACACGGTGGTAGGCGAGTAGACACCGCTTGTTCCGGCGCATACACAAGTGGTTTACAAGGAGAGCGCAGGCTGTTTCAGGCGATGCGCTGGGGTTGAAGGAGCCGCTGTAGGGAGCGAGGATCGACGAAACATCTTTGTCGAGGTCGCGCACTTCGCGGACTATGGAGCGCGTGAGCTCTGAGGCATAGGGCGGAAGATGGGGAAGGGCAAGAGTGCGCTTCGCGTTTTGCACCTGGGCTTTGTTAGACAGGTCGTGGAGCAGCAAAATTGGAGGTGCATTGAATCTTACTAATTTATTGGCCGCTTCTCCATACATGATCTATATTATTTTTTTCAATCTCCTCGAATGTCTTATTTCTTGGTAGTAACGGAGAATGTGCTGATTCAGGCAAACAGAACGGCCGCTGCAAGTTGTGGGACACGCAAAGTTGTCAGGTTCTCGAGATGACGCGCCGTGATGGATATGGTTTGTGGGTGCTTGATCGGGCAATACTAGGACAGTTGACGTCTATATCTTGCTGTGGATATTTCTTGGATCCTCTCTTCCACCAAGACAGGCGCGTTCGCGACGCGGGGACAGGTGGGGCTGGACGGGCCTTGGCTTTGTCGAGTCCAACTTCACTCTTCCGGCAACCCCTTCGACAAGACCAGCAACCCACGCAAGCTCATTCGCCAGCACCTTCAAACCCTCCGCTAGTGGTATTTCCTTCGTCGTCACTATGGAGCGCGATGGATTCATGTTACATGGGATGCAATGTCACGTCATGTCCCTACATCGAGACGATTGAAGAAGGCTGATTGAACACTAATATAGACATCTCAGTCTACATACGCGATAACACTATGTCTAAATGCTCTAAGTCCCGGAACTTTTGGTTCGATCAACGCCTTGAATGCTGCTCACCGTACAAGAGCCCGCCAGAGGCCCTACGATGCTGAAAAGAATGGTCATCGCTTCGGAACAACGTCGCACGTAAATACAATGGCGACACAACCACCATAGACACCAGCTAATATGGTATAGATCACTGCTCGCCCATCCATTTGTCAAACTCCGACTCTTGTTCGAGTGATACCATGTTTGGATCTGACTGCCAGGATTGGTACTCGTTGGGTGAAAGATCTAACAAACCGCCGAGGTTGTGTTGCTCAAGCCTGTCTCCTTGCATTTCCGGGTGGACGTTCTGGTATACGTTGTTCTGCAGTGCTGCAGGATCGATATCCGAGTGGTTACCTCCATCGTAGGCCAACAACATTGGATCCAGTTGCCCCTCGTCGAATGGTGTGCCGAGATCCGACTGTAGCAGAAGATCACTCGTATTCCCTCCGGGCAATCCCAGCATAGACGGGTTCGAGTGAAACTGCATGGAAGATGGTGGGCTTTCTACCATCCTCATGTGCATTTCGTCTGCATAATTCGGACTCATGTGCATGTTGGGATATGCAGTAGTCTGGTAGTACTGGTTGTAGAGCTCGTTGTGGCTTATCGGCATCGGCATCGGTCTGCCTTCGTTCGTTACCTCCCAGGAGGATCGATTAATACCATTACCATTTGGACCGAACGAGTGGTCGAAGTACTCTGCAGCAACACCACTCGATGGATAACTGAACGATCGGTCGACTCTCCTAGCCTGTCGTGAGCGAGACCTGCCACTACCAGGAGCCCATTCAGCATCGTCAAGATCGCTAGGTTCTTCTTCGTCTGACCATTCGCTTCTTCGTTTCCGCGCCGGAACCGCTGTTTTGCTGGGCGAGAACTTGTATGTTGGGTGTGCGTTCTGGTGGTTGATCCTCTCGATCTTTGCGTATTCATTGTACAGTTCACGGATCTCCGGAGGCTCCAGTGGCCAGCTCTCTCCCGCTACTGAGGATACGACCTGGTGGTTGTTTTGAAGACACCATGACTTGGCCCTTTCCGCAAACGCCGACCGATACAGCATGAACGAGTTCATGGGACGAGTGATGTATCCGTTCCTCTTCTCCACTTCCCGTCTCCTGACGTCCGCTGGCCTATTCACCCACTCTTCCATGTTCTTGACTGGGATATGATGTAGCTCCTTCGTCAGGATACTCAGTGGCGCAGTCAGTTTGGGCGTCTTATGCTTTTCGTTCTTCGGCGCCTTCGCCTTCTTAGCTCTAGGCGTCGCCTTCGGCCGGGGACTGCTTTCGTTCCGACGTGGGGAGCTGGACGACGTCGTGGCTCGTCCGCTGCGGGTCGTTCTACGTCCAGAATCATCACCGTTCGATGATCTCGGCGTCGGCGGCGAGAACAGAGCTTGGTCATTCTGGCATTCATTAGCAACCAAGTCAAACACGACCAGCAATATTTGCTCACAGGCATGCCGTTATACGAGCCGTTATGGTAGTACTCTGCCGGTGGACCATACCCGTCCTGTAATTTGATCAGCATGGCTATATGTGCAAGGATGTAAGGATGTAAGGACTCTTACATATTGTATACTTAGTCCGAGCCCACGAGAGTGGTTGTCGGCATGTGACACGTGTGAAGGGATCCCTTCGCGCGCCACCGAGCTGGGAGAACCATACCCTGCCTCACCGAATGGATAGCCGCGATCTACGTTGTATTGCGCAACCTGGTGCAGACCGGTCTGGTACTCCGACCCGGCATTCGGTGGGGTAGGGGGGTGTTGTTGGATGAGCGTGTCACCTCTCATCATAGCGGGTGTTAACGCCTTACTCAATCGCTGCGACGGTGGAGATTGCGGGCTAAAGCTCTGTTCACTTTTACCGATTGGCCTCGTTTTGAACTCAACAACACAGATAAGCGATAGAAGTTGATGATGAACAAGACCAAGCGCAACTGGGTTGAGCGGAATGAGTCTTCTGTTGGCCTAAAGTCTCAGAGCCTGAAGACCGATGGGAAATCGTTGTTTCTGAATACCGGAAAGGGCTCTTTCGGTTTCTTGAGACGATGCCGAACCAGTCTGCTCTTCTCCAGGTATGGTGCTGATATGTGTCAGTAATGATAGCGGCTATGTTGGCCTTTGCTGGGTTTGCTTCGTCGCAATGATGCATAGCAGTTCGCAAAGAGTTCAGGGAACGAACCTGTTGCAGTTACCCGCTTCTCACCGGCACCAAGGCTTTGGCGCAGAGACAATCAACGTGGACGACTACGTGATGCCAATTTGCAAATCAGACACCGCTGGAGTGTTTGAGTTGTGTTGTTTCGGCCGTGTCTTTGTGGCGAAGGCAGAGCTCGAGCAAAGTGTGAAGGACAAATCAACGGAGAAGGATTCTTTGTCCGGGGTCAGTCCTCAGAAGGTATTTGTAGCGACTACTAAACCTCGAGGTCAATTGTTCACCTATACTGTATAGTGTACCTGTTCCTCTCAACACGGACAAAGGCCTACCGGATTGGTGTTGCCTGGGCGCGCTTGACACACTGAGAAGTCGCGCTGCTTTTGGATCGCAGGCCTCCAAAGCGATTCAATACCTACAAGATGGCGCAAGGCTTGGCCCTCTGGTCCGTTCACATTTCGAAGTCGAAAATACCATCTCTCTACTGTTGTGGGGTTGAAAGCGGCCCTCAGCCCCTCCACAGCGACTGCTATGAACGGGAGCTACTCTCAATTTGGGCGCCCTTGTCCAACTTTCGCCTACCCTACGAAGCTGTCTACCAATCTCGATAGGGATTTACGATGGCTTGCAGCACTCATATGCAGTGGGCGCTCGCTATAGCAAGCCACACGCTCACTGATATCTTTAGCCTCTAGAGCGACCCTTGGAGTTGTGCTCGACAAGATCATGGGCTGCATTCTTCGCACCAATTGCATCACCGGCGGCTGACGGTCTCCTTTATTGGGCAACCAATGACATAGATGGTCCAAGACCACATTTTTCTTAAGGCTTAACTCGATTGGCCGACCAAAATCTGGGTTCTTTCGCTATGTAGCTAGGCCCTGCGTGCTTTTTACGGACGGCTGCATCCTATCATGCCAGTACCCTGACAGCTGTTCGTGCTTGGCAGGGCTGACCACGATACCACGAGATCTAATTTTTACAACGCGCGCCAACATCCATCTATACAATCGATCTTCAAGCAGCGTCAAACCAGGCATTACTCAAACACTTGATCCCAAACGCTTTATCGTCGTTTTACGTCTCCTGGACAAAGAACCAGCACAGTAATTCCGACATACTGGTCACAGTGCGCCTCCGCGGCGAGGCTTAGGTGCGTTGACCGCTTAAGCCTAGAGTGGTTTCGTCAATCCTGTCTGTTCGGCTATCAAAGCCAATATTCCGTGCCGACGAGCATTTCGGTAAGTCCGTCACAGTCAATTAGTCCTCCGTATCCTTGGGCGACAGGTCGCGGACAGCTGGGCAACGTCCTGCATATTGCATGCATAGAGCAAAAGTTCGGTTGCTTCCGGTCGATCGTGTTGACATGGGGACCTGCCTTTGGAATGCGTACTATCACCTTTTCGGCACGATAACCAAACAGTTCCGACCTGGGGCGACCAGGTTTGACCGAGCCTCAAAGACGAGAGTGATTGGTTTGAGCAAGCGCGAAACATCAGTGGGTCCACTGTCTGCGACATTGCTTTGAATCAGGAGGCTTGAATTTGTCTGTGATGTTTGAACATGCATGTTCTGACCGGTCTACCTAAAAGTGAACCCAAACGTGCTATGAACACAACACGATGTTCTCCACAGTACCGTAAGAGCCTACGTCAGATGACATAGGAGGTGTCTATAGTGTGCACAGCAGTGGCAACTCGAGCTATTCGTAGTCGCAGGCCTGGAGAGAAGTCTTCGAGCACATGTGCATGTGATCGACGCTGTAGCTGTCAATGTGTGCCTCCACTGAACCGACTTCCGCATTGCTCAGACAGGCCAAATCTCCGGTGACTTTTGCCAGCTATGGCAATTTTGAGATTTTATTCTCACCACCTTCCAACACCATGATCCCGTCTGCTGAGCTAGGAAGATAAGCTTCGTTGGCTCTACCCGTCATGGAGCCAAATCAAGTCGGTCACGCACCTGTCCGCGCCTCTCGATACGTCGTACAACCACCATATTCCTCTAAAAACACTCGGTGCCTTGCAATAATAGCGAATGAAGAGACGATGTGGTCCCATTCCGCGGAGGCTAAGAACTAAGGTCAACCCTCATCTTCCTGTAAGGAAGGGTCTAGCGATTTACCCCACTTTCCCAGCGTTGCTACCATGGAACGAGCTTATGGCACGGGAATGCCGTCGATAGTGTGATCGGAACTACCAGCATCATCGAGCTCGAAACATCCTATGCTCAAGCTTCGGACCTTTTCTGCTCACAGTATGACAAGTGCCGCGCCACCGGCAAACACGCATCGGAGCTGCATCTATATGACATCTTACACTCTCCATATGCCCAGTCATATCGAGTATACACGCCTCGGCACAATAAGGCGGGATTGGTACGCTAGTATGCGTTCTTGCAGTAGGCCAACGGTCGCGGTTGAATCGAGCAACTATGCCGCGAGGTACCGACGTTCACAATGATGGTTGGTATGGATTTCATGCAAGTATCGCACGATGTGCGGCATTCCTCAATTCCTCTCAATGAATTAACCCGTTTTAGCGCGATCAGGAGACACGGCACAGGGGTAACAAACGGTTACGCAGCTCCAGAGCGAAAGCTTGTCATACATTTCTCGCGTCTAGGCATACCCCAACATCCCACCCAGCAACGAGAGAGCTCTGTCACCTCTAGTGCTAGAGCACTTATCTCGGCTACTCGCCCGGCTAAAGTAGGTTTGTGACGAGCGGTACACCAGCGTCAAGGAAGCACAGGGAAAGACATGTTACAACACGTGCAAGATCCACCAAGCATGGGCCTACGCTCAACGATCGCTTTTCAACGGTTCACCTCAGGTTGTCGTAGACCCAGCGCCACTGTCAGCCTTAGGACACACCTCTCGCTCTACCCCTCACTTACCTTTTGTCAATCATGCTTGCTTCTCTGTTTCTTTGGGTAAGGCGCTAGCAATACTCAAATCACAACTCAACTCATTCCCCGTTGCATTGATGCGGCTCAAAAGCGACATGGGTCTTTCCACAACAAGCTAGCATTGTGTTACGCCACGCCATGGAGTCGGTATGCGTTAGCACGTGATGCTAACAACGCTCCGCTCACATCGCTTACCCCAGTCGCTGGGCAAGCGCCTTCCGCAACGGCTGCCAGCCTGATGTGGGTAATGGTGACTTCCACAAAGAGTGGCAGAAGTGTAAGTTTTGCTAGCTGGTGTTTCTTCTGACAGACGTACTTTCGTTGAGGTGCCTATCACTGTACTGAGACTGCACATGCAACACAGGATGGATTATGCCTGATACGCGATTTTGTGGCCCTGGCAACGAAAACAGACACGCCATGTGGCATGTGTATCGTTCAGAGACTTGGCTAGGGAATCAAGGGCTGTTATAAAACCAATTAGAAAACCTCTTCTTGGCTGGTGTTTGGGATTTGTGCATAAGTCTACGATAAAAATCCCAACAAGAAGAACCCGCGTCACTCGTTGGAATGCTCATGGTATTCCATCGACCTTCACTATGCTATCACGTCCTCACAATGCTTTGCTGTATCGCTCAGATGTTTCACTATGTTTATCAGATGGTATGCAGTTGCTCTAGGGTGAGAGGCATTGTGCTACACAGAAGAATTTTTGAGACAATGTATAGTCCGACAATGAAAAAGGACGGATAGAATGCGTCCATCAAACTAGAACTGAAAGCCAAACTCCAATACTTCAAGCATAGGAATCTTGCAAACATATCATAAAAAAAGAGTCTCGTACGGGTGACGAATTGACGGGTACCCTAGATATGAGCGACAAGGCAAGGCAAGAATCGCGGGACGACCCTTCGCAGATTGACGGGGACAATAAACCTACGTCGCTATTTTCTCTTGATGAAGAAGCAGACTCGATGCACGGGACAGAGGAGGAGCAGAACGGTGATACGCCATCGAGCCGTGCCGTCGAAGAGCATACCCGAAGAGAGGAGCATCATATGCCCAGATCTTCACTGCGATCGAATGTATCGTCATTTGCTGCTCCTACCAAAGCTTCAGAAGCGAAGAAGAACGAAAAGATCGAGCTTGCTCAGTTTGTGAAGAAACCATCTTTGGGCAAAGAACTGCCTGGCTGGACAGGTCTTAACATACAGTCTCAAACGGCCCCTGTGCCTGTTAGCCCACGCCCGAGTCTTAACCGGCACCCTACTACTGGATCTCCTTCTCCTAAGAACCATGATCGTATAAGCGGCACTTCGTCACGGACGGAGAAGCATTGCGGAACAAGAAGTCAGAGTCTTGTTTTTGGTGTGTCTGATGAAGAGGACGTCGGAGTAAGACTAGAAGAGCTACCTGTGATAGAAAATGAATCTCTGGAGGAAGCATCGTCAAAGCAGCGAATGCAAGTTGAGGAAGAGGAAGTACAGAAGGAAAAAGACCCGCTTATACATGAGGAGGAAGAGGTTGAAGAGATAGAGGCTTTCACTGAGAAAGAGCCACCTAAGTGTCACGTTGAAGAGCATGAGGTTGGGTTTGATGTATCGCCAGACCAAACTTCTCCCTTGACCAAACATGGCACAGCGTTGCCATTAGAAGAAGTTTATGTCAAGGATCTTGAACCGCAGATCGAAATACCCCAAGACCCGGTCGAAAGCATGTCGCAACGCGGTACAGAAGAAGACGGGACGGGTGCCGTTGCGATTACTGCCCACAACAATGACATCGCGTTGGATAAGATTCTTGCAGAACAGGAAAAGCTGCAACACGAACTTACTCAAGCGGAGACACAGCGTGATGAGGCAATACGACAATGTGGTACAGTACAAGCAGATTTAGAAACCGTCAAAGACGACACTAAGAAGTTGAAACAAGAGAACGACAAGCTAGTCACACAACTCCGGGAGAGTAATGATCTAATCGCAGCGCGTAATGCTCGCGAGCCAAACCTACCGGCTCTTGAAGCGATTGAAGCGGAGAATCGGAGGCTTCGAGTGACGGTCGACAAGAAAGAGAAAGAGCGGAGTGATGCAAATGCATGTTGTGAGAATCTTGATGATCAGCTCAGGGATACTCAAGAGAAGCTAAAATATCAGGTAATGTCTATCAAAGAGCTGTGCCAGATTGTCGACCTGATGTCTCGAAGTGTATCTCAGGGCGATGACGTACCCATCCCCCACCCCGACACCCTCAACGAAAGTCTTGCGCAAGCTTCCGAGATAGAAACGTTGCAGATCAAGATCACCCAATTGATTGGAACGTTTAATGAGGATCTCAAGAAGTGGCAAGGCAAGAGCAGGGGACTGGAGCGTCAGGTAGCGGATCTAGAATCCAAGATTGTTGAACAAAAAGAATTCATGGTCGTACAGAAAGAGGAATTGCTAAGCTCTACTCTACAGAGCCCGCTGCTCTCGCCGGAGATGCTGTCAGATAGAGATGAGTTCAAGGGATATTACCAGCGAGAACGACAGAAGCGCAAAGAAATAGAGCAGGATCTCGCCGAGGTGGAGAAGGTCTTGTCGCATCTTCACCCAGAGAACGAAAAGCTGCAGTCTGATTTCACCAAGGCACAAGAAGAGCTTGCAGATCTGCGTCCCAAAGCCGATCAGTTGATGAGAGACGCGAATGGGTGGAAAGAAGACTCTGAAGAAAAGAAGTCGCAACTTGAAGAACGCACACACGCCTTCGAAACCAGTACCGATCAGCAAAGGCAGGAGACTCTCCGATACATTAGGGACTACTACAAGAAAACTAATGACGAAGCATATTGGGAAGTCAAAGGTCTACAGAAGAAGCTCGCAACCGTGGAAGAAGAGCGTATAGCACTTGAACGGAATTTTGAACAAGCAAAGGTGGAGAACGCGCACTTAGCGGATGGTGTCACTCGACTACTGAAGAGGAATAAGAAACGGAACGCAGATATTGGGAAGATAGAAGAAGCGGTCATATGCGGCAAAGATTTTCCCGACCTTTCAGATGAAGATGAAGGCTCATCTTCGAGTTCAGACTCCACAATCTCAACACCCACTCATCCGATTGACCTTGTCAGGAGACGAATACCCATCCCACGCTGTCATCTTCCCAAAGCATTCAATGTACGTGAGGGCAAGATATCTGCTTACAAGGAAGAACTGCAGAGCATGCGAGAGCAAGCATTGTTCAACGCGAGCGTCAAGCCACTCGTGTCTTTCAAAAACAGGATTAGCGTTGGACGCAATGATATCATGGAAAAGGTACGTGAATGGAAGATGGGAAAGTCCTATCCACCGAAATGTTCGGAGTGGGGGGAGCTGAGGAGAAGAAGCGCGTGGGAAAGGTGGAATGGAGAGAACTGGGCGAAGGAATTTGCTCAGGGGAATGAGGTTGACATTTTGAAACGGAGTGGACTTTGGAATGAGGCTTGGGATTAGTAGTTGCATTTGAAGTTTTAGTGAAGGCGACAGCGGAGTATATAGGCAGATTCGGAAGATTGAGTTCATGATTACTGTGCCATGGTCTACTGTTGGCCAATCTGTACCCTGCCAATGTTGGCGTCTATATCCAGGCTGCCATGAAAATAGATTGCGGTAAATGTCGTACTTGTCCTCGACCCCTTTCATTCTGCACTCATGACATAGGCTCTTTGCAATGTCGATATCTGGTGCGGTGTTGTTGATCAGAGAGGCACATGCGAAACGTAGACCTAAAGGGCCTAAGATAGCGAGACCATGACTGCAGTTGCTTCCGTGACGCCTGATTAGTACTTGGCAGTTCTCACAGTGGATGCGAACGAAGTGGCACATAATTAGTCGTTTCGATGGATGGTGTCGGGGTGAGGTTCAGGATGAGCGCGAGAGAATGTTCACTATATGGGAAGGTAAGACATTGGGACTACGTGTTTGAGGCTAGGTAACCACATTGTCGAAAAGCACGTAGCCTTATTGCAGTAGCTACACGTGTAGCACCGCACACCACTAGCCACGAATGTGACAGGTCACTTAATGAAGGGGTTTAAACCAACGAGAAGAAGTCAAGTATCAGACTAATTTGTAATATATACACTAATCAATTCACGCCAAGGACCACTCACACAGCCTCCGTTGTCTGAGTTTCGTCCTTCTCCTTCTTGGCAATATTCTCAATAGTGGCAAGGGCGTCGCCTTTGGCTTGCGCAGCTACAACGTTTTCGACGTCCTGAGCGAGGTGTGAGCTGCCCTTCTTGGTCTGCCAAGCATGGGGGCCCTCTTTGCTGAACAAGACTTCAATCTCTTCAAGAGTCTTGCCACAAGTCTCGGGGTATGTGAAGAAGAATTGAATGGATGCCAGAACACAAAGTACTCCGAAGACTACGAAAAGTCCCCACTTGATGTTGATGAAGGCGGGCGGAATGAAGAGTCCAATGGCGAAATTAAATAGCCAGTTTCCGATGGCAGCTATGCCCATTCCGGAGGCGCGGGTCTCTAGTGACCACACCTCAGCGGCGTAGACCCAGCAAATCGGCGCAAGCGTAAGCGCGTAGATCTAGTGTAGGGTTAGTATGGTCTCTGAAAGACACGGAAAGAAGTTGCTTACGATGATCAATAGGTATGAGAACGCAATGACAGTGTACGCGGGCGACCCGGTAACCTCCATGACGACGTTCTTGTCGCCGCCGACACCATCGGGTACATAGGTATAATGGGCTCCCAAAACTCCACCAACAACAAAATGGCAAAAGGCCATCGTGATTGCACCCCAAACCAAAAGTGTTCTGCGGCCAATCTTGTCGACAAAGAAGAACATTATCGACGAGAAGATAATGAACAAGGCGTACTGCACGCCAGATGAGATGAGCTTGGTGTTGCCTTGGAGACCTGCCATGGCGAATATGTAGACGACGTAGTAGGTCATGACATTGGCACCCGAAAGCTGTTGCCATGCTTGGACAGAGAAACCGGCAAGCGTTCGCTTCCACATGCCGTTCACAACGAACTTTCTCCATCCTTGGGGAGCTAGACGCTCAGCAGTAAGGGCGGTTACAATCTCTTCGTATTCGGCGATAACATAAGGATCTTCGATATTGCCGTCGGCTTGAATGGCGGCAAGAATACGGATCGCTTCTTCTGTGCGGTCGACCTTGGCGAGCCATCGGGGAGACTCAGGAAGGAATGGCAGGCCAATCATGAACATGACACAAGGAACGAACTGGATTCCCCAAGCGGTGCGGAACGAAGCGGTGGCGCCAGGGATAAACGTACAGCCATAACCGATAAAGTACCTGGAAAGTATGAGCCTAGCTACTCTCCTCGTGCATAGTTCACTTACATGATAAGAATACCCCATTCGATAGCGAGCTGTTGAATGATGATGATGGCACCACGCTGCGAGTGTTTCGAGATTTCGGCAAGGTACACAGGCACCTGAGATGACGTGATACCGACTGTTACTCCGTTCAAGACGCGACCGGCAATGAGCATGCCGCGACCTGTGCAAGCGACCTGTACGGCGGTGCCAACAAGCCACCAGAGACAGGCGAACACAAGAGCATCGCGACGACCGAACTTGTCAGAGATGGGACCAGCCATAGCACTACCGACTACTGATCCAGCAGCAAGTGCAGAGCCGATGGCTCCCTGGACAACACCAGATGGGTTGTCGAAATAGTCGCTGTCGAGAGTTAGTGGATGTGCTAACAAATTCGACCGTCATGACTTACAGATACTGGTCGGATGGAATGATGGCACTCATCGATGAGATGTCAAATCCGAAGAGCATACCTCCCATCGTGGCAACAATTGCCAAAAAGTAGACATTATAGATCTTGGGGAACCTTTCAAACATCTTGACTAGAACCTCTCCAGAGCCTTGGGTTGATGCAAAGATGGCAGTCTATTGACCTGTCGACCCACGTTCGCGGGGGAAGTTGAATATAAAGCTTCAAGCAGTCGGCACTACATGCCGGTTCGTTCAACCTGATAATCATCTCGCTTGAAGTTGTCTTCTCCACTGAAGTCCTTGCTCCGCATGAGGCTCCCCATACCGATACATTCGTTGGCCAGGTAAAATGGTTAAAATGCGGATTTACCGTTGTGAGTATAGCGGCCGCACGCCGAGAAGCCAGCCGTCTTGAACATCGGAGAGAAACGACATCGAGTCAGTGTCGGGCCCAGATTGATTCGTGGAAAATAGTGAGTCTGGGGTTAGACTGGAGGTGGGAACACGGACGCTCAAAGTCGGAGAGATGTGGAGATCGCCTCACCCGCGTTGTGCATGTGTCGATGTCGTCAGTGGCGCCGCAGCCGAACCGGCGGCTCTTTTGCGAAGCTTTCCGGGGTCCGATGGCACGTTGCAAGGCTGCCAAAATGCAACGATGTTACATGTGAACTGGAAATATTTCCTGATGCGATATGGCTTCCGCGTGTCTTTGGGTGATTGGGCAGGAGTGCGATAGAGTGGTGTGAACGAACGGGGCGCGATCATTCCTCTGCTTGGCAACGTCCGCCCTCATCCCCCGATTTCTACTCAGCATCGCGATGTTGTAATTGGCATGCAGCTTCGCACGCATCGCATTACAATGTTGTGGTTGATTTAAGACGAAAGACATGATGTATAGGAGGTAAAATTGACAAAGGCCTTGCCAAATTCTGACAGTTCATTAGAGGTAAATCTGGAATTTGCGCAGCTACGATTCAATAAACCTTGTCATGATCGGGGTTACGAGGACCTCGGGAACGTTGGGTTTGCTCATCGATGATCCTTTCTGCCTTTCCTCGTGCTCGGGCCAACTAATTGCGCATCAAACCACGAACCATCGCATTGTAGGAATGTTGGAGCGAAATGACCCTAACATCAGGCCACTCGACACGCCTACGCGTATGAATCCTAGTTCTAGTATGTAGCTATGTTCGCAGGACTTGGCCAATGCAAGGCCAAGTTCGAAAAGTCATCCAAGCAGTCGACAGCACAAATTTGGTCAAGAAAAGCTTTGCGCAGGATGCAAAAACATTGATAGTGAAATCTGGATATGATCCGATGCAACTGTAACCACTAAAACTCGTTCAGAGGTTAATCGTGATGTCCACCGCCCAGATTGCTGGACCGGACACCTATATCCGTGATATAAGATACATGCGGCTTTGGTGTGCGTGGCAAATACTCGGGAAGGCGTATAAACCGTGTGAAGTTGTGATGCGTGCAATAGTCTGCGTCATTGACTTTTGACTAGGAGATGTTTATCGCATGACCGCGCCATCGCTCACACAAGATTTTTGACAATGAATTTTGTTTCTTCACACAATTTAATAGAACCTGGCTTCATAGAAGAATGCTCGCGCAAAACAGAGAATCGCAAGTGCGGCGGAGGTTGAATGTATCGAGAACTGTCGTTGAGACAAATCTCAGGTTCCCCAAGTCGGCATCACTAGAATTTTCACTAACAAATGGTATACCAGGCATACTCAGGATCTGGAGTTTGATGCCATTAGACAAGAGCGCTCAGTATTCAGGTAAAGTTTTGGTGTTCGAGTTCGGGTTTGCTGCCCCCTGAACCGCCCGTGTCTGCGCGGCTAAGTTCGGCCACCATACCAACACTGGCAGTATTTTCCCCGTTCCGATGGCTGAGAGTCCACAATTTTTTGTGGGATTGTCAATGTCTATCGTGCCAACAAGCTCCGCGTGGGTTTGGAGATCGGGATTAGGCCGAATTTCTAAAACACGCATTCTTATATAATATTTCATTTTCTGCTTCTTTCCATCAAAACAACTTCAGCAGCTCCTCAAGAGCAGCAGAAATCGGTCTTATGGTCTAGTGGTATGATTCTCGCTTAGGGTAGGCGTCTTCTGGACGCCACAAAGCCTGAGCAACAGCTTGCGAGAGGCCCCGCGTTCGAGTCGCGGTAAGACCCCTTTTTTGCGCTTCCAGAGGCTACAGGAGGCCCTACAGACATCAGAGAAGCTTGGGATACGTTCAGATACATCGCTCGTTCATTTGGGAAGCTTCTGGCTATATGTGCTCATGCTTTGATTACTTACTTGTCTTTTTTTTTTTGACCAAAACTCGGCCCTCCACAGCTTGAACAACATTCAAGCATCACATACGTGTATTGTCGAGTTTGGAGGTTCACTCAGACTTTCCCCAACGTCTCTCGACCCTTTGGAGTGGTTTGCTAACTGTGCTGGGCTTGTGCGTGGACGATTCCACTTTCTGGTTAGAACTTCACGCGACAAAAGCAAAGAACACTCAGGCATACCACACGCACACATGCAAATATGAACATTCCTTATCTATTTTCCAGTACCTCTCGACCGGTTAAAATTGTCCGCTAGCTACATATCTCCATACCTGGGAGATTTACTTTTTCGATTGCTATTTTGTTCTCGACAACGCTCCTTGCGGAATCCGCGAACCTCAACAACTACGGACCCGGCGAAGATAAATCTGCATTACCCTTCTACCAACCTCTTCAGATATCTCTGTCTTCTCCTATCTTGTTTGCACGTTTCTATAGATAGTGTTTTCGTCTTTAGGTAGCGTGCAAAGTGGATCCCGAGGTCACTTTCAGGGGTCATAGCGCGAACCGTCCTGCTCCAAGTAGAAAACCATTGCAAACAACATCTGGGCAACCTCACCGACCTCACAGCATCAGAAGAACCTCATCTTCGCAGCCCGCAGTTATCATACTTCACGATGCAGTTGCGATGGGACTATCCGAATGAATACATTGTAGGAGCTTGGGAGCCCAAGACGTCGAACCACAAGTGAGTTTGGGTATGGTACCTGGATTAACTGAATTTAGCTGACCTGGTATAGCTTTTGTGAAGAGGTATGCGAAAATCAATGAGCCTGAACGAATGCAATGAGGATTGACGAATGAGTGAAGGACTACATCATCACACAGTACATCGGCGAGTTCATCAACACCCTTACCAACATCACCTACGGTGCGTGCAATCCTCCATCAAAGCCAGAACCATAAACTCACTCACTTCCAGTCATCTACGGCCTCCACGGCCTCCGCCGTGTCGCCCCAAAACCTAATGGCGGACTAGTTTCGACACTCGCATTCCCCTACTGGGGTCTAATCGGCGTGGGCGTCCTATCAGCCTGGTTCCACGCAACCCTAAAGTACCACTCGCAAATGGGCGATGACCTATCCATGTTTCTGGCCGTAGGGGCCATTCTGCACCAACTCCTCTGCTTCGGTGCTACGCAATCGGAGCGCCAGAAATACACCTTCTACATCCTTGGCAGTCTAATTCCCATCTCCGTCTACCATGTCTGGGCCGACGAGATCATCATGCACGAAATCGCCTTTGCAGTCATGATTTTCCTCGTTAGCAAACAGACGCGCGCGCTGATCAAGAAGCAAGTCAAGAACGAAGAGAGCAGGAAGAAGTTGGGCAGCATGGCTACGTTTGGCATTTCAACAGGCTTGTTCGGGTACTTCCTTTGGAATATCGATTTCCACCTTTGCGCGTATGTCACGCAGTTTAAGCGCTATGTTGGGCTGCCTTGGGGATTCTTGTTTGAGTTGCATGGGTGGTGGCACATTCTGACTGCTATTGGAGCGTATGTGGGTATGGCACTGGTGGAGTACCTTGTCACCATTGAGGAGGGCAAAACAAACACGGTCGAGGAAGGGTTTGTCTGGCCTGTCAAGGCTGTGCTGAGGGACTTGGACGGCGTTGAGCGAAAGGGTGTAGAGAGCAAGAAGACGATGTGAGAATGTGTTGGAGCATGGGCTTATGAGTTGAAAGGATCGACAAAAAACTTGGGCACTTGTGTATCGTACATGTATTACAGTATATTCATGGAGATAGGTTGACAATTAAGATGAATTCACTATTGCTGTAGGTTGTCCGGAATATTCTAGGTCTACTTCAAAGGCACGTACTACATTGTACAATTTAGCTGTTGCTTAGGCTTTGTGGCGTCTAGAAGACGCCTACACTAAGCGAGAACTATACTGCTAGACATAACACTAATTAGTACTGCTCTTAGAGAGCTGCTGATGGTGTTTTAATATATAGTACGATATTTAGCAAAAACACAAGCTTCTTATTGCCGCAAGTGTTTGAGCTTGATCATGAGTGCCGGCTCCACGGCTCAGCCAACTTCCGTATCAACACAATAACGATTTCAGCTTACCAACTCCATTTCGGACAAATTATCAAACTACACATTGTGTGAGATGGTCGCGCGCGCATTCTGCTGGAGCTATGGTGCAAAGTCCATCCTCTTACGCCACACCCGCTTCTGATTGGCCGCGCGGAGTTAAGATCTGGGCCCGGCAGATGCATGTGGAACCCAGCGTCATCACATCCAGTTACATAAAAATGATTTCGGGCCCGAGAAGACTACCATTCGATATAAGAGCTTCGTGGAAGAACGGCGAAGAGGACATCAAACAACAACTGGTACAACCACACGAGCAATTGAGCATCATCAATCAATTTATAGAAGCTCCATCTACCCCACCATTATCTACGAAACTTCACAGAAGCACCAACCAACCAACATGCCTGAACTCGTCGGAAAGACTGTAGGCCCAGTGGGCTATGGCCTCATGGGTATACAAACCATCACCTACCTCGATTCCAGTATTCTAACACATCACAGGCCTAACATGGCGCCAGAACCCACCGCCAGCCGAGCAGAGCTACGAAGCTATGCGCACGGCACTTTCGCTCGGCGCAAACAACTGGAACGGTGGCGAACTCTACGGCTCCCCAGAGCGCAACTCTCTACACCTTCTCAACGAGTACTTCACCAAGTATCCAGGTGACGCAGAGAAAGTTGTCCTGTCCATCAAGGGTGGACTCAAGAAGGGCGAGATGGCGCCCGATGGCAGTCGCGAAAACATCAGGCGCAGCATCGACGAGTGCTTGAAAGTCCTGGATGGCAAGAAGAGCCTAGATCTTTTCGAGTGTGCCAGAGTCGATCCCAAGACACCAATCGAAGAAACTGTCGGCTACATCGCCGAGTACGTCAAAGAGGGCAAGCTCGGCGGTATCAGCTTGTCAGAGGTTGGCCCGCAGTCGATCCGCAAGGCGCATGCTGCACACCCCATCTCGGCGGTTGAGGTAGAGTTCTCGCTCTGGAGCACTGAGATCCTGGAGAACGGCGTGGCGGCGACGTGCGCAGAGCTGGGTATCCCCATCATCGCCTACTCTCCTCTTGGACGCGGATTTCTGGTAAGCGCATCTTTTTCCAACTGAAGACTTACTGCTAACACATGGGAGACTGGCAAGTACAAGAAACACGAAGACATCGAGCCCGACTCTATGCTCCATCACTTTCCTAGATTCCAGCCCGACGTCTTTGATGAGAACATTAAGCTACTCAACGCTGTCGAGGATATGGCCAAGGCAAAGGGAGCCACACCAGCTCAGATTGCCCTCGGCTGGGTACTCGCGCAGAGCGGTGCCAAGGGTATGCCCACCATCATCCCAATTCCAGGTGCTACAACGTCGGAGAGGATTCAGGAGAACACGAAGCCGGCGCAGCTCAACGACGAGGAGAAGAAGGCGCTGGACGAGATCTTGAAGAAGTTTGCCCCAACCGGTAGCCGATATCCCGAGTCTATGTCGGCATTGCTGTCCGCATAGACAAGTGCAGATCTAGTCTGAAGCATGTTAGCGCTGTAGTTGTAATGCAACAAGCTTAATGTGTATGAGAGTAGTAGATCAGAAATAATTGTAGTGTAGAGCTAATCCACATTCGAGCAGCCGTGAAGCGACTCTTGAGAATTGCAGAACTCTGGAATAGATCATCATGAAGACGGGGCAAAGGAACTAGCAAAAAACTTACCTGTAGATGTTTATGGTGAAGAAGTGTGGAAGAAGGACGTGAGATGCGCAGAGCTGACCAAAATATGCGACGGAAGCTAAACGGCTGGTCAATGCACCTCTCCGCTAGACGTCCAACGCGCCAGCCGTCGTCACGCTCACCTCCCCCAAACGCGCCCAGAGCAGCTGGAACATTCACATCAAACCGCCAACATGGAGTCCCCTTCAGAGCTCTCCGAGTACGGCAGCGATGATTTTCCCGAAGACATCAAAGGCCGCCAGTACGAAGCCACTCCTGACCACGACCCGCGCCCAAGCAAGCGACCACGTCTGAACATTCGCGCGCCATCTTCACCACCTCACATCAACACGATGCCGCCCGAAGAAGAAGGCGACTTGTCTGAAGACACGGATGGCTCTGTCCCCGCGTCGCCACACCACCACCCGGGCATGTCGCAAGACGACGACTACGGCCAGGAACAGGTCACCGTCTGCAAGTGGGACGGCTGCACAGCGGGTGATCTCCAGAACATGGACAACCTGGTCGAGCATCTCCACGACGATCACATTGGCACAAGGCAGAAGAAGTACAGTTGCGAGTGGAGCGACTGCACAAGGAAAGGCATACCACACGCCAGTGGCTATGCGCTAAGGGCACACATGCGCTCTCACACGAGGGAGAAGCCCTTCTACTGCACGCTTCCCGGTACGTCACGGTCCCAGTCTCGACACCCCCAGTATACTAATCCTTGCTAGAATGCGACCGTTCCTTCACCCGCTCCGACGCGCTGGCCAAGCACATGCGAACTGTCCACGAGACCGAAGCCCTCCGTCCTTCTGATCCTGTTCCCAAACACCACTCATCCAACCCCACAAACAACAAGCAGCGCCTCAAGCTCGTCCTGAACAACGAGGCCAAGAAGCTGCCACACGACAAGGCCTCAACGCCCGGCTCCCCATCCTCACACTCCCACCCCTCGAACAGCGCAACAATCCCGCCCAACGCACCTGCAACAGATGCCGACTACGCACACAACAACGTCGTCTACCTGCAAGACCTCGCAAACCCAAGCGCGCCGACACTTGTGCAGTTCCCGCCGGACATTGAGTTTACGCCCGAAGAACTCTCGAAACCCGCCCCAGACCTATTCCAGCTACTACGTCGGCAACTGCTTTGGGCAACACAACAAGGCGAACAACTGCGCGCCGAAGCTGAGGAGCTAGAGAAGGTGCGTCAGGAGGAATGGCAGGCCAAGGAGCTCCTATTTGAGAACTTCATGGAAGCACAAGCCGCAACCGAGCGGCGGCGACGAGTCGAGGAAGGCATGCCAGATGACATGGAGGGCTGGCAGTCTGTGGAGAACGACATCATTCCCGCCAAGTCCCTCCCAATGGCACCAAAGGACGGAAAGCTACCGTGGTGGCGAGACGAGACTGTACAGGCCCAGCGACCACAGATCAAGGATGAGCTTCAGCCACCCAGGCCGCCTCCAGCGGAGCCTCGGCACCACGATGAGCTCCACCCACAAGTCCCTGTTGCTTAGAATGCTCAAGGACCGGGCCGCAAAGCGTACAGGCAGGCTCCCTGCTTCGACCTATTTCATCCAGCTTTCCCCTGGGGGTTCGTCCGCTATCGTTTTGTTGCGGGTTACCAGCCACCATATATGGACATGTCATAAGCGGTCTTCCAACACTAATGCAGCGTTGAGCTTGGAAGATAATCTGGCTAGGCGGAATCAAAAGACGGGATTAAATGTTGAAAGGGGAAATAGGCGCACTCTTCTAGTGTTTGTTTGACAGTTTTCGTGTATTACTATGGGGTAGATCGACGGTTCACGGTCTCTGGGTACATTCAAGATTAAAGATACCAATTCATTTGATGCTTCCATAGTGTACAGCCTGGCTTAATCCGTGTCTGGCGATTTTTTGATGCCATATTTTAATACCCGCTGCCATGCATAACTCCCATTGTATGCCCATTTGCCCATTGTTGCTTGAGCGCTGCAGACATCCCTTCCATGCCCCTACCTCCGCCCAAAGCATGGCTTGTTAACTTTCACAATCGACCATGTTTCGACAAAAGCTGAGTATATGCGTTTACCTAGCCTTCCTCTTCTCAGCCTCTTGGTTCTTGAACGGGAATCCAGATGTCCTCTTGTCAGCACCTGTCTTCCTGCTAATGCGGCCATTGCTGCTAGCGAACAAAATGCACCAAAGCGCAATCATAGCCAGGAAGCCCGAGCCGAGCGTTGCCAGACCGAAAGACATGACACCAACCTTGGTCCACATGGCGTAGCCGTAGAAGGCAACGACCGAATGGAAGATTGCGGTTATGGTAAGGGTAGGGAGCGCGTAGGGGGCTTTGGGGTCTTCGGCGTTGGTCGTCGCTCCTGGATATGTGTTAGTTGCGGACTTTGCAAACAAAGTAAGAAAGTCGTACCCTCGGAAAGTCTACTAGAGAGTGGAACAGAGCCCGTGAGTAGAACCGTCATGATGCCCAGTGCGATGAGCGAAAACCCCAGCGAGCGGGAGAAGTAGACCTCGAGAGCTAATCATGTTCGTTAGCACCCCCTGCTTTTTCGCATTCTTGACTTTTAGAGTGTACATACTGGAGGCTTCGCGGACCTCGGGTGACAACAGTGCTACTATCATTGTTGGGGACGCAATGAGAGGCGCGGCTTGGGTTGCTGAATTCTGTCAGCAAGCTGTACGATATCCTCGATAAATGGCATGAAGCTTACCCAGCCATGCGGCAGTGCCATAAGAGTAAAAGTAGTAGACCTGGTATTCATGTCAGCTTCTCTTCGTTGAGCAAACACCATCCCTCATCAACAGAGCTGGAATACGTACATCCATGTTGGGAGAGTTGTTAGGATATCAATCGAGGTGTCGTTTCGTTTTTGAAGTGTTACAGAGTGTTTAGAGGGAGATGCAGTCGTGAAGATGATGTTCTTGGGAAGAGTGAAAGGAAGGGTTAAACGTGGGCCTTGTGATGCAATGTCGTGTTCCTGGCGGGATTTGCGCAAGCATCCGCGAGCCACTACGTCATTCTTGCGCTAACATGGAAACCGCGGCACATGCCAACTCGCTTGTTCTGGACATTGCGCGTAATCGGGTTTACTTGGTTGCCATGCGTATTACTGCTTTCGCTCATCGTCATGATCCGTATTGCTTCATTGGTGATATGTGTCTATCATGGGCAAGTCTGAAGCTTATACGAGGGTGTGCGAGGCTGAGGACCACGTCGCTACACCTATCCAAGCTTCTTCCAATCTTGTGCCGTCATGATAGCTACAACGTCAAGGGCGTAGCAACCTCTGCGCTCCAACTCTCTCACAACACCGCACTGAGCTCGCGCATCATGCTTCGGCACCCCACGGAACACAGTCGTAGAGCAGCTACAGTGCCTTGAGAGGACACGCACGCGCCAATGATTACTATGCTCTTCTGCTGACGTATACGCTTATATCCTCAGTCTGGGGGCGATTCACAAACTCCTCAACACCACGATAACCAGGTATATGACATGACTTGCGATTTGCGCACACGTCCGAAACAGGAAACATACTTTACCAACCATCGATCACTGTCAACGGCTGTCAGACCCGTTTCCCGGGACAACTTTACACCTCTAACACTCAAAGAGCTTGGTTGCCGTACCTCCAACGGCCAAAATATACCATAAGAGGAAGGGTATCAAGAGAAGCATCGATTACGGTAGATTGCGCTATCGGAAAAGATCCACGAACCAGGATGGAGGCTTCAATCGAAAATCGGGTCTCAGGGTCGAGGTCTGGTACGTGGCTGACGGAACGTGGTAGCGAAGTAGTCATAGACGCCGAGAAGGGAAGGAAGAAGGAAAAGCATCGATTCTCGCGGGCGACTGGACACGTCGCCTAAAAAGCAAAGGTAGTCTTGTCATGAAGCTTGGGTCGTCCATGTCACGCGACTTGACATACACGGCTATTGGATCGGGGAGCAGGGACAGGTTTGGATTGAAGACAATGCATTCGTGCTGTATTGTGGCCTTACTACGAACACAATGGCCTAGGACGATCAGGGCGCGTATCTTTTTCTGGGCCATGCCGACACATACGGAACCGGAGCGTAGTGCGCACATGTCACACACCGCCGTCCGCCTGTAGACCTCGGTTTCATATCCAGGCAGAGATCCAGTAGCGTTTCACATACTCAAATCTTCTCACTCACAACAAATTGCCAGAAAGGGCAATCGTCGTTTTCGCGTCGATTCCAGATGGCGTAAGGAGAATAAAAAGTTCGCACTAGGGACGTCTGAAGAGTTCCAGATGTCATAAGCTTCACCTGACATTTTTATGCACCGGCTCAGTACATCAAACAAAACCAGTGTTTGCCCAATTAGGCAACATAAATCCAAGGTGTCGATAGCAGCTCAGGCGTCCAGCCTTGAAGTTCGGGTATGGTTTGTTTTGCCATCTCTTTTTGAGGGGTCAGATCACTTACCGATCGCCCGGTGTGCCTAAGGCACGCGCTACCAAACGACAACACCATGGGCAGTCCGCAAAGGGAAATTTGATCTTTCACTGTCGATTCCAGATATGGTTTGTGGCTTGATATGTGAACAAGCAAGAAGGTGCGCAAGCTCTTCAATAGGCCGCTTGTTTCTTTTGACTTCTGCGCTGTCACCGTGCCAGACGTTGGGCTACTCAGATAGGCAAGAGTAGAAAAGGTGTTGGATTCAGTAATGAATCGTACGTGTATTCTCCGAGGGTACTGAGAGGACGTGCGCAACCTGCTCAATATGCTTAGACCGTTTGAGGGTTGGAAGGTTTGGAGCGTGGTGCCAACACGGACCCGGGGGTTTATGATACACGCCCGTTCGTGACCGCAAGAAGGCGAGGGCTTGCCAAAACTCGTGATATCATTCGTGTGTAAGCAGTACCTACTACCCAGGTGCTTCTAGTATAGTGGCCGGCGGCCACTGGCCGCCCGAAATGAATAACGATACACGCTCGCATGGATGGAATGACGCTAAGTCTCTAGTTTTCTGTTGTGCTGGTATACTCTGAGTGATATGTTGAACCAGCCGCTTGCTCGTTCTGGCATTCTATACAGCCTATGGAGCATATCAGCCCAACCCTAGGATGTCCAAACTACCCCACTCCCTCACCCTTGGTCTTGAACCACCACCCCTCTTCAACCCCCTCCCCTCCATGTCTTCCTCGGCTCCAATGGTTCCACAAGCAGCAACAGCCAAACTTCCCGAAGCATGTACGAGTGATCCCACGACCGGGACCCCTCCACTGTTTACAGAAACAACATCATCAGCCTCCACAGCACCTTCTCTCATGTACGGATCCCTCCAAACTCTGATCATGCCATCTGTTCCCCCAGCCCAAACCTCATGCGAGAGACCCTCGATATCATACGGTGAGGCCCCAGCATTCCAGATATCGAAACCAAGTTTCTGCCTCGTGAGTGCCTTCCTCCCTGCGCAGTAACCCAAGGAGAGAGAAAAGTTACGGACGTCGTATATGAGGAGGACGTCTGAACTGCGCTCAGCGACGTAGAGATATTTGCCGCAAGGACTCCATTTGAGAGACGAAACGCCATCACCCATGACGTGATTGAGCTTCTCATTGCGAAACTTGATGCCGTTTGTTGTTCCTGGGAGGGAGAAATGTGTTATTTCGTTGCCGCCGACAGAGTCGTAGATGCCGATGTAGCGGGTTCGTGATCCTGCTGCTAAGAGGCCGTCATGCGAGGTGTGCGAGGGTGGAGAGATAGCTAGGGCGGAGACCCAACCCTTGAATCCACGGCCGCCGCCTTTGAGTTTGTTGCGCTTGGCGGGGATGGTGCGGATCGTGTGGATGGGTTTGTCGGTTTCTTGGAGGTCGAATATGGCGATTTCGTCCTTTGCACCTCCAAAGAAATGGGTGGCGCCGTTGGAGTAGACGAGACTGATGGGTGCGACCACAGCTTCAGTGAGACCATTGATTAGTTTATAAGATGCTAGAGGGGTGGATATGTCCACAGGCCCTGCACTTGTAGCGGGACTGGCGTCGTTGTTGGTAGCTCTCGGGGTACCCCACAACGCGTTGTGTAGACTGATATAGGTGTCTCGTCGACTGAGTAGCACAGTCGTACTGCTGGCATCTTGCAAGTTGAAAAGCGGATTGACAGCAAAGGCCCAGATGGGATCGGAGTAGTGGAGAGATGCATAAGGTGCGAGATTCTGGACGACGGTCTGGCTTAGAATGTCGTTCGAGATAGGATACACAGAAAACCGACGGCTATAGTCTGATGTAAAGACGCAGCTACCGTCTGGTGACAGCTGGGCTTCTTGTATGCAGCTGATGTAACGTTCGCTATCCAACGAAGAGTCTGAGATGATAGAATCACTACCATATTCGGACTCTGATTCTGATTCTGATTCTGATTCTGGTGATGAGTCTGAAGGGTTCGATGAACGGCTGTCTCTATGGCGATCGTCACTTTCGTTTTCCAGTTCGTCTTGCTTTGACTGTTGTTGTGCACCATCATGGCTGGCCACCGACCTCGTCCCTTCATCCTTCACTCCATCTGATTCGGCAGAATCTACGTTTCCATGCACTTCCTCATTCTGGCCCTTCTCTTGCACATCGCATTTCGAAACCCTCGTGCTAGCCAGACATCTGACACTGATAGCCGAACCGCTCATCGTTCAACGCGCCATGTTCTCTTATGAAATCCCCCCGCTGAATACGAATAAAAAAATCTGCAATCTCGCAAACCGGGAGTTGTGTCAGAAAAGTATTCCAAGTGTTAAAGAGAGCCAGCCAGTCGGGAAGAAGGTGCAGCTAGCTTGCGCACAGACGCTTCGTTCCTGGAACTCATCGTCTCGAGAACGTCGTCATGGGTCTCGAATTACTTTCCCACCATGCTGCACGCGCTCGACTCCAAGTCAGCACCACCACCACAAGCATGGGTTGAGTCGCCATACTTGCGGTCGCTCATTGTAAGTATTTACCCTAATCATCACCAGAATATTACCATCCCTTTCCACTCAACCTCCGAATATCGGATTTGGTGCGACTCTTCGCATTTCTTACAAAACAGCCCACTTACACCCCACCCTAGGCCGGTGGCATGGCAGGCACGACAGTAGACCTCTCTCTTTACCCTCTTGATACGCTTAAAACCCGTCTCCAATCTGCATCCGGTTTCGCCGCAGCCGGCGGCTTCAATGGCATATACCGCGGCGTAGGCAGCGCAATCGTCGGTTCCGCTCCCGGTGCCGCCCTCTTCTTCATAACATACGACACGATAAAACGATCATTCTCCCAAAATGTACCGGCTACGATCAAGTACAATGCGGAGGGAAAACCGTATAAAGAGGACGTAAGGGATGGCGGGACAGAGGCTCTGGTACACATGCTAGCAGCTAGTGCGGGAGAGGTCGCGGCGTGTGCTGTACGTGTACCAACAGAGGGTATCAAGCAGAGGGCGCAGGCGAGTCAGCATCCGAGTTCACGGGAGGCACTCGCGTTTGTGCTTAGGCAGCGGCATACCAAGGGGTTGGCGCATGTGTGGATGGAATTGTAGCGCGGGTGGTCGATAACGATCATCCGTGAGGTGCCTTTCACGGTCATCCAATTCCCGCTCTGGGAGGCGTTGAAGAAGTGGCGCATGGCGAGGACAGGGAAGACGGAGGTTAGTGGATGGGAAGGAGGACTGTTGGGTAGTGTGGCGGGCGCTGTGGCTGCGGGTGTTACGACGCCGTTGGATGTGTTGAAAACGAGAATGATGCTTGCTAGGGAGAAACAGCCTATGCTTACTATGCTGTCAACTATCATGAGAGAATCGGGTCCAAGGGCTTTCTTTGCGGGCCTGGGCCCGCGCGTTGGCTGGATCAGTGTGGGTGGTGCCATCTTCCTTGGCTCATACCAATGGGCGAGCAATGCCTTGGGTGGTGTAGGCGAGGACTGAAATGGTACAATCTACTTCACGATTCAGATGAGCCGGGAGACGGGCACCAAAAGGAACGTCCATGACTGCATATGGTATCGACTCCATCTTGCTTGAGCCCATGAGGCCGAGCCCACCGACTCGTGTGTGAGTCTACTGGCAAGCAGGTATGCTATGTACACTATTCAAAACTCTGACTCTGAACCAAGAATGATATCCAACGTCCACAACTTGGCCGCACTCTAGCCGCCTTTTCTCCTTCCATCTATCCAACTCGACCCAGCCCCAACATTCCTCAGGGTCCAAACATGGCAGCATCCTTGGTACTCCTATCCGCCTCACTGCTCTGCTTTCCCTCACTTGCATTACTACTACCTGGTCCCGAGTTCAAGCCAGCGCCAACCTTCAATCCATGTATAGGACCGGGCGGGGCACCAGACTGCGGACCAGGATAAGGAGCGTGTCTGATCTCTTTGCGGCCGTTGGCCTTGTAAAGAAGAAGTACGTCGCCGCCACCGCGCCAGACGTGTGCGCGGATACTAGCAAGCGTCATCGTTGGAGGAATCAACTATCCAAGATTAGCATCGCTCATCGACCAATATCAAACACGAATTTCAACAAGAAAACTTACCTGTCCATTACAATACAGCTCCAGATACTCATCAGGCTTCAGCACACCACCTGCCTCGGCCTGCTTTTCCAGATCCTCCTTGATGGGCGCAGGTTCAATGCGCTCAGCCACGTAGCCCAATATCTTACGCGCACGCAGCATGCGGTTTGCGTTGAGACGGTTGTTGCTGAGTTTCGAATTAGCCAAGGCTGCGGTTTCGAAGGGAAGGGAAAAGGGAATGTACCCGTCGGAAGAAATGGACGGCAGTGCGTTGCCAAAGGGTTCGAGGACGAAGGATACTTTGACTATGTCCTTGGGTGGGAGTTGGTTCTGTCGTAGTTAGTTCATGGTATTCGTAGAGTTTAATGCATATAGTCAACTCACCCGTAGCAAGACTTCGGCCAACCACATTGGTGCCGCTTTCTCGATGAGGTCAGCCTGCGAACCCAGGGTGCCGACTTTACCCTCGAAGAGATCAGCCACACCGCCAGAGTCTGGACGATCTTCCTGGATCAAAATGGTAGTCATGGCAGGTGGCTTTAGTACAGGTGTTTCGTTAGGCAAACTGGGCGCAATCTGCGTATCCAACTTTGTTGCGCCGGCTGCAAGTTGCTCCTCATAGCCCTGCTGTATCCGTTGAAGAGCTCCGTAGAAGTTATCTTCGATGGTCTTCTCGTTCGTCTTGGTAGACCGCGAATCGCTGTCTTCGGCCTTTTCGTCAACAGTGGGCTTGGCAGGTTCAGGGACGGCTGTGCCAGTGCTGAACTTCTTCATGCTGAAGCCCATGTTGAACTTCTTGCCAAACATGCCTTTACCCTTTTTCGCTGGCGTGTCGGCCTCGGTAGGTGATTGTACGGTTTCTTCTTTTGAATCTGTGGAGCCTTCCTTGGTAGCCTCTGCAGACTTTCCGTTTCCGTTACCATTGGTAGCAGAAGCGGAACCAAAATAGTCGCCACCTTCTTGAGTCGAGCTCCGCTGGGTCTGTGTCTTTTCTAGTTGCGAGCCTTCTTCTTTGGTTGGAGTCAGAGGATTGGTGGTAGAGTTGCGTCCCGCACTCATTGGTGCTGCCATTGGCGTAGCTAGACCGATAGCCAGACCTGGTGTGTGTGGCAGACGCAATCCGTTCTCAGCCTTGATAGTCGAACCCGAAGTAGGCCCTGAAGTTGCATCCTTCCATCCGTTTATGTTCATGTTTGGCAGCTCGATGTTAGTTGGGCGATTGGGCTGCGGCTGTTCCTCCTTCTGCTTGAGCAACTCTGCACGCAAGACCTCATCGCGCTTGATCTCCTCGTCGATGAGATTGGAGAAGAGATAGCGTAAGATCCACTTGCCAAGATTTATGCGATGGTCTTCTCGGAACTCAATCTGCTCCTCTAGGTCCAGCTCGTCTGCGTATGTCTCGGCATCAAAGCAGTAGTTCTCCTCGAGCATACATGTCAAGGTTCCTATCCTTGTGTCGACGGCGCACCAGTGTGCAACGCTGTCCTGAGTATTAACCTCCGGTAGTACATCTTCCATGTGCTTTTTGCCGTAGGATTTGATGGGTGCACATTGCAGTAGATCCCACAAAACCACCTCTCCTGCAGTATCAAGTGTAAGGACTCTTCGCCGATCGTTGAGGAGGTGGTGCTTGATGAGACCATTCTGCCCTTCGATTGTGAAGTCTGGCAGAGCCCGAACAGTTCCAACGGCACTATGATCTGGGGCTGCTAGTACTTCGGATGGTTTGCGCGCGCTGGCTAGAGTGGATGCGTCGGGGTCCTTGGTCGCAAGGGCTCGCGGGAAGGGTGCGGTGTTGGACATGCGCAGTAGAGACTTGAGCGGTATCTTGGATGCCGCTTCGTTCTTTGGAGGGCTACCAGCAGGAGGCGAGGGAATCCGCGATTGCATAGTCGACACGCTGTTTCTCTGCCACCTGTGCGACTCGGGAAGCTCAACCTCGGCCGCGGTTTCGACGTCGTTCCATCGGTTGATGCTCGAGCTGGACGTGGCAGTCCAGATGTAATCGCCAGCTGCGACGATCTTGTTCACACCCTCGTGTTCCTGGCATACTGCTAGCGAAAGTCCCTCGTCCATCTCGGCGCAGTTGCGCACATCGCTCTTTGCGACTATGCCGGAGCGATCTGAGGAGTAGAAGACGTCGAGTTCGGGTGAGTCTGAATGCAGAGACCATACGCTGTCGTTGTGCATGGTCAGTGTGTACATGCAGCGACCTGCCGTCATGGACCAGACCTTGACTGTTTGGTCGGACGAGCCAGTCAGGATGGTGTCGCCGTCGTGCGCGAGAAGGATGTCGCGTACGTTGTCGGTGTGTCCGACAAACTTGGTGATGCGCTTGCCCGATCGCGCGTCCCATACACGGACGATGCTCTCGGGACCGCCGCTTGCGATGAGGTTGGGCGTTGCTGCCAGGGCGTAGACAGAGCCCTTTGCGGTATTTTCGTCCTCGCCCACTGCGATTTCCAGCTTCTTGCCCGCGCCATTGAGATCCCAGAGGCTGATCTTGCGGTCCAGCCCGCCCGAGGCTACCCAGTTCTCGCTGCCGCCCGGCGATGCGACGCGCTTGACATAGTCGGTGTGCAGGCCGATTGTCTGGGGCGGGAGTTTGTCCGTGGCAGCGGGTCGCCACACCTTTACGGTGATGTCGGACGAGGCAGAGACGAGGGCGTTGTTGTTCTGGGCGAGGACAATGTCATTGATCCAGTGCGTGTGCGCCTGGACCTGGTTGCGGAACTGGGTAGGCGGGGGCTTGGAGTCGACGACGTTGGAGTCGGCAAAAGGGTCGCTGTTGTCGTCGTCGTCGTCGTCGGCGTCGGTCTTGTCGAGGTCGAGATGCAGGTCCCATGCGCATATTACGCCATCACGTCCGCCCGAGTACAGGATCGAGTTCTGGGGGTCGACGGCCAAGCCATTGACTCCGAGCCTGTGTCCTCCGGCCGAGTTGGCGAGTGGCAGCACTGGGGAGGCGTCAGTCGCGACGGCGCACGCAGCAGCAGCAGCAGCAGCCGACACTTACCGTACGAGATACGCTTCCGCGCGTTGCGTCCCATGCCCCTCGATTAGCCCTGCGCGGACATGCGGACGGCGATGAGGGTGGGAGGGTAGGTAGCGAGCTTGCTGATACCTGTCCACGGGCGTTACGTTATTATGGGGGGAGGTGAAGGGCGGCTTGGTAGAAGGATGCAAGGCGGGCTCCAGGTCCCCTGCCCAGGTGCATCATAGTCCAACCCGCGCCCGGACATGTTACCAGGACCAGGACGGACTGGGCCATTGCGGCGCGGAGAAGCTTGGAAGCTTGCGAGGCTGAGCAGTGCACGCCCCAAAGACCACCCGCGCCTGTTGCTCGGGTCGAGAGGAGAGAATACGTCATTGACCGCCAAGGCCTGAATATCTATGCTATCATCAGGCTGTTGGCCAAACTTCACGCCCAGCAACAAAGAGCCTCTACCAGCTGGCTTCCCGGCAACGTGGGCGCAGGGCAGGTTGCGGGGTTGGTAGCCCACGAGCCGGGCGTTCGCATTGGGACTACGGCTGATTCGGGCGGCTAGTCGGCTATCCAGCGACGTGGTACAGCATGCCCTGCATTATCACTTTCGTTATTCCACAGCACACGCCTACTGCTCTACACTCTTCGCCCGCCGAACCATACATCCATGCCAGTCCTTTCCTTCACCGCCCCAAGGCACACGATCCCACTCAAGCGCCTTCACCACTTCGAATCCCCTCCTCTCATATATAGGCCTTCCCGTCATCGTTGAATCCAAATATGTCACCAGTCCCTCTTCGTCAGCCTTCCGCATCCCCCAATCTAGCATCAACTTCCCTGCCCCACGACCTTGATGATCTGGATGTGTCGCCAGCTGATTCAGCATAAAGTAAGGCGTCCATGTGCCCATGATGGAAGCTTGAGCAGCCCGTAGAGGACCCAACAATGACCCCAGAACATCGAGACGCAGTTCCGGAGGCAGGAAACCAGGCATACTCTCATCTTCTTCCCCTCCTGTTTGCATGTTGTGCATACTCCACACCGACACAGCAATTGTGCGCCCGCCGTTATCTGATGGGTCGTCGGAGCTGGGCTCGAGATCTGTGTCTACGACCTTCCAGTGCCATGTGTTTGGCTTCTCAATCTCACGTTTGCGGTCATCCGCTACACCGTGTATCGAGGCTTCGCTGATAGGTCCGCTATGCACTACGTCGTGTGTCGGACCGTAGTAGGCGAGTGCGCGAACCCGTGTCCAGGACAGCGTGTCTTCCGTCGTCATTGGATGAAGTTGAAGTGGCATGGCAGTCGTGTAGAAGCTTTCCAGGAGCAGTGCACTTCAGACGTAGAACATGGCAAACGACCATGTGGTACCATCCATCATTTTGGAGCATGTAGTCGATGACTCAGAGCATTGATACGACACAAAGCATCCATTGATTTGCAGGCTCAACACGGCACCATGCAGGCACTGGACTTTGGGCGTGACCCCAACACATATCTACCTTCCTGATCCGGAAGCAGTGCTGACACAATGCCTCAATTGGATACCTTTCGCCATCACTACACGATATCTCATGCAACGACGTATCGAATGGATGAGAAAGAGGCGTCGAAGCATTCTGGGTCGAGGTGGAAGCTAAGGCGGGGCAAGATGACACCACAGCTCCAGGTAACAAAGAAGCTGTGCCAAAAAAGCTTAGAAAGATACCTAGGTATACTATCTTTCTATCAGAAGATAGATAGTATGATTGCTCGTGATAATATTAATATCAACGATTGATCATCTGCAACTGATTCATGTAAGCATAATCACAGTGGCTATGGTTTGCGATCACCTTGATATACCTGGGTGGTGGTGCAGCGACAGCTTGAAGGCCCTTTGCCGCAGGGTGGACAGACATCTGCATAGCGTATTTCTTCGCATCCCTGTACCTAAGCACCGTCGACAAGTCATTATTCTACACTGAAACGATGACGGGAGGAGGCTTCCGTCAACGACGCTACGCGACTAAACCGTAGCTGCGCCACATTTGCAAAGCTGCTGCCTACTTGTTCACATAAACTTCATCGCAGCTGTTCAGATCTTTCTCAAAACCATTGCCAGCAACGCAGGAAGGATAAAACAAGTCTGGGATACGTATAGATCCAACGCACCGCAATGGCAAATTTTGGAGCTCGTCACGCAATCTGCGAAGACACCATCGCACGATCCTCATCAATCGCAGCATCAACACCAGGCGGCTCCCTTACCAGCTACTTCGTCCCCTCCCAACTCCCGCCTCTCTCTAAAACATCCCCCAAATACCCAAGCCTTGCCCTGCACACACCTCCAGCAATTTACAACAGCGACTCCTTCGCCCTCGCGAGAATAATCCCCGGTAGCGGAAAAATCGGCGTCCTAAACCTAGCCTCCGACATAGAACCAGGCGGCGGCTGGCGCTACACGCTTTCGCGAACGCAAGAAGAGGCCTTGTGCTACTCTAGCACGCTGTACGCTACTTTGAAGCCGCAATGGTACCCCTGGCCTAATACGGGAAAAGGGTCTATTGCAGGCGTCATGTCCCCCAACGTGGTCGTCTTCAGGGACACGCTAGATAATGGGCTCGCCGAGTTGCCTGTAGATCAGCGCCATGTCGTGGCTGTCATGACGGTTGCGGCGCCGTGTCTACCCGCTGTTACGGAGGGAAGAAAAGATTTCGTTAAGATGGAGGATTTGGAGAATCTGAGGGAGAAGATTCTGTTGGTATTGAGGATGGCTGCGGGAGAAGGGGTTACGAGGCTGGTGCTGGGTGCTATGGGTTGCGGTGCTTATAGGTGTCCGCCTCGAGTGGTTGCAAAGGAGATGAAGATGGCTTTGGAGAGTGAGGAGTTCGCAGGATGGTTCGAGAGTATCGCTTTTGCTGTCTATGCTGCTGGACCAATCGGGCAGAAGAACCTGGAGGTTTTTCGGGAAGTCTTTGCATCTGAAGTCATGTGAGTGCTGATGCGCGTACTTGTCATGCTTGTGATATAGTCAAAACTTGGCTCGCTTGCACTAAAGGTTATGGGACAAGTCTGTAAGAATAAAGTTTGATGAAACCTGCAACTATATGTTGTCTAAAGATATTTACATAAAAGTTTTGATGGAGCAAAGTAGATATAGAGAAGATGGGTGGCACGTCCTTAAACTTGCGGAGGCCACGCGCCTAGCATCGGTCATGCAGGCGATTGCATATGCACCACTAGGATGCTCTAGATCTTGCCAACACCAGCAGTGTTGGCGACGTTTGAGCTCGCCGCTGCAGCACTGGCCACGTTCTTGCCCTTGAAGTTGACTAGGAAGTCCGTTTGGCTGCCACTGAAGCTGCCACTGCTTCCGAAGGCATTAAGCTGGCAGGTGTGGCCGAGGGAGCTTGAGCAAACAGCGTTTGCGGAGGTTGAAGGTGCAGAGAAGAGCTGTCCGTTGTTGTTCAAGAGGGGAGTATTAACGTTCTGGAACACGTTGCCCTCAGCGACGACCATACCGCCGGCCTCAATGTCAAAAGCGTGACCGGTGTTACTGTAGAAGTAGTTGTTGACAGCATGGAGAAGTGTGTTTCCTTGTCCACCGACCTTGGGGCTGCGGCCAGAGGTGTGATGGATGTAGTTGCCCTTCATAGTGATGAGGTCTCCGCCACCAAGGAGCAAGATAGCCCAGTAGTGACGTCCATCGCAAGAAGCAGACCAAGAGGTTTGACCGTCAAACTCTGTGTTGCTGATTGTCACGCGGTTGGAGTTACCGTAACCGGCAACGAACATTTGGCGACCGATGAGGGAGATCTTGACGTGATCTATTGTATGTGTCAGCTTGGTAGTGAGCGTGGAGTGGAGTAATTAACATACCGACCCAGACTAGATCAGCTCCGTCGAGAGTGATAGCGTCACCACCCCAGATATACTGAGGGTTGAGTTCGGTGATATGGATGTTTTGAATGATGATGTTCTTTGCGCCGTTGGCAATGCGGAGACCCTTTCCGCGGATAACACCCTTGTTGCCAACACCGATAATGGACTTGTTGGAGCCCAGGTTGATAGCAGTCACACCAGCATTATCGTACTTGACAGTAACCGATGTGGCACCCGCTCCGGCGTTTCCGTTGGTACACCAGTTGGCGGAGTTGATAGCATCCTGACCTCCGTTGCCAGGGCATTTGTTAGAGGCAGGACGGCAACCAGTGGCAGTCGTAGTTCCCTCTGTACCCTTGAAGTTGTACTCTTTGTCGAGCACGATACAACGCGCAGTGCTATCGGTGAGCCACGTCTTCAGTTCTGACACTGAAGAAGGAACGACACATGCTGCACTACCACCTCCGGTCGTTCCTTTTCCGAAACCTTCAGGTGTGCCCTTGACAGCATATGCTGCCCTTTCTCCGAGGACGGCGGCGCTGGCTGTGTAAGCGCTTGCAAGCGCGAGAAGGGAGAACTTCATAATGAAATTTTGATGAGAAGATGCTTGCCTGAAGCTAAGAAGAAAGTTGACTGTGTGAAAGGAGTGGACTGGTAGTATGGGTAGCCCATTACCATTGAGATATCTGCTCTTTTTAAAGCATTTCCTATACTAGCTTGGAGACTACCCCACTGGAAGAGCATTCCGATACCCATGTCGGCATCGAGATAGATTCAACGTCGAGGAGAGTAGTTTTTGCGTGTTAGTGGTATTTCCGCCATTAGCAAGACGGAAGGACCAGCGCTTTGTGATGATAGGGGCATAGTAAAGCACCAGCTCATGGCGCTAGCGCACCCTCTAAATGACAGCGGCGCAGTCACGTACGCCACAGGGCCTCTGAGTAGTTTGACAGCTATCCGGATCCTTGTAGTTTTGTTCGCTTCAGGTACTATCGCCGGTGGTTCGCTGCCATCGATTCAGGAACCGGAGATATGTTTGCATCCTTCTGATGTTCACACCTCGCCTGTTCCTTGCCCCTCTTCTGTCTTCATCCTTCAGCCCTGACGGACCTCATCGCTGGAATTTCTTGTGGGTACGCTGTGAGCGGAGTTTTTGATTATGCGATCTAGTTGTTGACCGTACTTGTCTGTATGTGTAGTCAAGGGATATCTTTTTCTCATCCGCAGGTCGGTCCGAATGACCACACCACATAATCGTTAGATCCTATAGTAGCTACTCGTCTTTTTGCGACCAGCATTGAGCTAGGTTATGGTCAGTTGACTTATCTTCATATACAGATGGCGCTTGAGCGGTGGAAAATAAGGTGAACCTCGGCGTTCTCTTCGGAAACGGGTAGGGCGGATATGTGACGGGCTAGCACGTTTCGTCTCTCCGCACTTTGACCTACGTTAGCGCACCATATGCCGGCGCTAAGACTTACCACAAGCAAGCCCAAGCAAATCTCGGCAATGTTTTGCCCGATAACAAGCAGGAGTCCTTGTGTCTGGTACCAGTATTCCAGTCAAAACACATACCCTACTATAATCATCTTGTGACGACATCATCTTTGACAAGATGACGTTGCAGCCATTGCAAGGCTACCCCAGGTGTACCACTTCAAGGCGTGTTCGTTCATTTCGCAATTCGCATAACGGAAGCTGCTCTCCGCGTCTGTCATACGTCGGAAGAATACTTACGCGCGCGGCTCGTCCGATTCTCAAATGACATGACACAAATGATGCGGACAATACTCTGGTGGATATGGATGTTCATTATCCACTTGCACGTGGTGACCAAATCTTCAGGAGACGAATCGTAAAGTCCAGACTCTTCGGTCGGCTGTTATTTTTTCTCTTATATGTTGCTCGTGTCCTTGTGCATACAACTTCTCAAAGCATCCAAAATTGGGTTGTTTGAACGTTCTCATGCCCACAGTCGCATGTTTAGACATACTCCCTATCCACACAACTCTGGATCATGCCCTTGTTAGTAGCTTCGTACTCAATCAGATCGACCTTTCCGTCCTTCTCGACTGTGTTTGCTTGGACAAACACCTTCCTCGGTTGCTTCTTCTTCAGAACAGCTGGTCTGACCATATTCTCGTAGAAGGGCTCGACACTGGTGATTTCGTCATACATCCTCTTCGCGGCTGTAACGTCCGCAGTTGCCTTGTAGATATGAAGCTTCTGGAGATAGTCGTTCACGGCAGGGCGACCTAGATCTAGGATGCGATCGCGCTCAAGGCGGATAGTGAGGTCGGAGAGATCGTCCTTTTCCCATTCCAGCTGGCAGAACTCGACACCAGCATTGAGGAATGTGCGTAAGATAGAGAAGCGGGCCTGCATGTGGGCCTGACCCCACTTCCTGCTCTTGGGATCCCAGAACTCCAGAGCTGCAATACCCGCACGAGCCATTTGGAGGTATGCAGTGAACAGAACATCTCCCGCCTCGCTATTCATGTCGGCTTTGCCGTCACCGAAGCCGAAAAGTTGCAGTATGGGGAATTCGCAAGAGAGCGCCATAGCGACGCACTCGGCGCGGCATTCCTCGTAGGAAGCAGCGATAGCACCAAATGTCGACCCCCACGTCTGGCCAGGCTTGTACCAGGATTTTATTGGCTGGCCGCTTAGGGGTGAAATCGGAGGGTTCTCCTTATCGAAGTTGAAAACGCCCGGCTCCGTCTCCTGAAGCAGCTTACCACATCCGTGGCCGAGCAGCTCGTGGAGACCGACCTGGACCTCGAAGGCAGGATCTCGGTACTTCTGGTAGGTTGCTAGATCACGCTCTTTGATGAATGGAACGCTCTCGTTGGGTGCCTTGGCAGAAAGAATGTTGCCAAGAGATACGTTTTTGAAACCAAAGTTCTGCCGAATGTCATCGTAGTTTGGAATGTTGATGCCGGCCGGTATGCTGTTTGGTGTTAGATGAGTGGCGAGACGATGGAAACTACGAAGACTTACCCACTGCCCGCAAACGTCAACACCTCGAGCGACGTAAAGTCCGGACTGAGGAACTTGTCCTTTTCGAAAGACTTGTCCCACGGCAATAGAGGAATGTACTGTGGGGCTGTCTCGACCAACTTGCCAAAGGCGCGCGTCCGCTCCTTGTTCACCATGGCCACGAAGCCTTCCCACTCGCCGCGGATGCCGTGTGGGTCGCGATACGTCTCGATGAAGCCGATGTCGGATTCTACTTGAGGGCCCTTGTCCTGTACCCAGGCCTTTTGGCTCTCCTTGAAGGCCTGTAGTGATCCTGTCCTGAAGCTCTTGGAGTACTCTTCCATCATCTTAACTTCGTGGTCGTTAGCTGCGTATTTCTTTGCCTGCTCGATATGGTATGCAATGGTGTCCATCTCTTTGGAGTAGTCACCAAAGACCAGCTTCAGCTTGCTTCCATCGTCCATTGTCCACTCGCTTTCCTTCAAGTCCCGTTGTTCTGCCGCTGGGCTGTCCGAAGCGGACGCAATGAGAACCTCGTAACCGTCCTTGGTCTTCCTGATCCTTGTGTTTTCGGGAAGCAATCCTTTTCCTTCGAGGAAATCGCTCACGCTGGAGATCTGCTCGCTGGTGATGTCGGGACTATCAGGGTAGTAGGTGGATATGTGACCTGCACCGGGATAACCCAAGTGCAGCTTCCCTACGTCATTGCCGGTGTATATGGCGTCCTTGAACTTGTCGTAGATGGCTAGGGTGTCTTTGGATGCGGTCGCGAGTGCCTTCAGCTGGCGGGGGTCGAGGCGGGGTACGAACTTGGAGTCGCCAAAGGACTTGAAGTTGCCTAGGTTGCCTAGGAACTGCGCTGAGTAATCGAGGTATGCGTCAATCTCTTCCTGTGAAAGACCGGTGTCTTTGGCGAGGGAAGCATAGTCGCCCTTGGTGTGCTTGTGGAGAGCGACGATGAAGTCATAGATGTGCTCGGATTCGGGGGAGACTTGGCGAAGGACAACGCGTGTTCCGGCGAAGCAGGCTCTACGATACGCATCAATTGCCATGTCGCAGACAGCCGATGAATGTACATGTCTTACACTGAGAGATGGTGGGCATAGAGCTTCTCTTTGTCCGTCAGCGCATCAAAGTGGGGCTTGATGGCCAGAGGCACGACAGAAGGCGGGCTATCGGCCAGGTACTGCTTGAGCGTTTCTGGGTCTATCTTGGCGGACATATTGGTGGTTGTGGTGGTAGTAGTTGAGGAGCGCCTAAAGAGCTCGAGGTGTAGTGGCGGGGAGCGGGCCCGACAGCATGGGCGTGGGGTAGCGGCTGTCCGTACATAAGCTCGCGGGAGTTTCGCGTCTGACGACGTGCCACGCGGTTGGCAAAAAAGCCCTGGCCGCGCAAAGTACCTGCAGGAACGCACAGGAATCACTATCAAGAGCCTTGGGTTTAGACTTCTCCTTAGTTTGAGTTGTGGACAATCACTCACTCTGTGTCTCTAGTTTCTTACTTCTTTCGCAGTTGTAACCAAAGTCGAGTACACGCGCAGCCCTGCAAGCAGGACAATTATTCGCTTAGCCTTAGTGAGGAACCTAACGTTTCGCCCTCTGCTAACCGCCTGTCTTCTTGCTGCCAATCGCATCCATGCCCATGTGCTCTTCAATCTCCTGCTGAAGTCTTTTCCACAGTGCAGTTGCCCTTGTGAGCGGGTATAAGAGGAATTGGCCGCTGCCGCCAACGCTGCCGAGAGGGTGTTGCCGGAGCAAGTGTGTGCAAAAAGTAAAGAGTATGACGACGTGATGATCATTTATTTCTTTCGAGTTCTTCAACATCGCTCTCCGCAAGCATGGTCTAACGTCAATCTTTCCTGTATCTAGGCGGCGTCATCCTGGTCTACTTTCCCATCCTCAACATCTTCACCGACACTTTCGACTCGACTCACCACCACCATGGACGATATTCCCGACGAGCTGCTCCTACACATCGTGGGCCAACTTAGAGGTCCCACGAGCTGGACAGAACCAGCCGACGGCGGCCGAATGCCTGCCCTTGCTGCTCTTTGTCGCGTCTCGAAGAAACTAAATAGTATCGCGAGACCATTGCTCTACGAGTCGATAGACCGCCCTCCAGCTGACATCAAGTTGAAATGGTCATGGAAATTTCTGAAACATGTTCTATCACAACCTGATATTCGTTTGCACATCAAGGCTCTTCGGCAAAAGCAACCTGCTATGAAATCCTTGGTCCATTGGCCTGAGTTCGAAGGCAATGAAGAGAAACGTTTCCTAGAATTGTGGATGTTGACTGGGCTGGATGCGAAATCTTCTCGACTCTGTCAACAACGATTCGCCAATCGCGAGGATGTCTTCTTCGCTTTGGCGGCTTTTTGGTTGCCTAACTTGGAGCGTATATGGATTCGATTGCCGTCATGCAATGTGATCGGTGGACCTTGTCTTCTTCTTGAGGGAATTGGTAGGAAGATCATGGGCAGACATTCACCAGCGCGCCACAATTTCCAACATCTAAAGACTCTATACGTCGATTTCCACTCGACGCCTGTCATGTCAACAGCATCCGTTCTGCCTTTGTTACTTCTGCCTAGCCTAGATGATCTGACCCTCGGCTCATGGGGCTGCAGACCAAATACGCCAGGGGCAATGCCCCCATTTCTCACCGACGAGAACGACTCCATCGTATACAACGTTCCATGGAGATGGCCTATACGCTCGTCGCCTATTTCTAAGCTCTCGCTAATCAGACCTTATGTCTCTGAGAACATGGTCAAGAAGGTGATACGTACGTGTAAAGCTTTACAACGGTTTGAGTGCACCCTTCCTACGCCCCATCGTCCTGGGGATCGCTGGTTCGGGAGCATTGTTTCTGCGTTGAATGATCACTCTGAGAGTCTCGAGGACCTGTCCGTCGCGTGTCGAGTAGTATATGGTGCTTCGCCGGCAAAATACCGTCTGGCTCAGCTCGAACCTCTCAGTAACTTGACACACTTGAAATCGCTTAGAGTTCCTTTGTATCTGGTTTCTGATCCAGATAGAAGCCAGAGAAATGTTCTACAATTCTTCCCGCAAGGCATCGAACACGTGCACATCGAATGGCTCCGTGCTCTAGACGTCAGAGCTGACAAACAACTTCCTGGTATCCTTGCGATGCGCAAAGCAGGATATTTCACACCCCTTCGGCATGTAAACGTCACATGGGTCCATTTTCGAGAACACGGAGACGAAGAGTATGACTTGCTTGAAAACCTTCGTTTGTTGCTTCATATTAGAGAGCAATACGAATCATCATCTATAAAGTTTGACATCTTATTTGTACTCGAGGATGACAAAAGTGGGTAACGAATGATGGAAAGCTCGCCGAGCAACGCTGACCGCCACTAGAATCCAACATAAAATGGCCTGAAATAGCCGAAATGAAAGAACTAATAATGGATGGAACACATTTGCAAACTCGCAAGGGCCATTCGGATCCAAGCGTTTTCGTTCGTTTTACAACGTGTCCTGGTCGCTACACAGCGGAGGAACAGGAAGATGATCGAGACCGTGGGTACGTCTGGGTACCTAGGTAGGATTCCCAGTTTAACACATCGAGAACAAGCCTCCAAGGCACCAATTGGAGCACTATTATGTGGTGTAAACATAAGTTAGAAGGAGGACTTTTACTTACATGTGCACGCCGAGAGCGACTTGTGAGAAGGGTTGACCCCACAGACATTATCGACTCATCTAAGGATATCTATCCCGACCATTTCAGAAGGAAATGATTATTATAGAAGAAGAGAATCACTTACAAGTGAGTGCGATACCTGCACAGTCCTACTCAGCTAGGCGGAGGCTAACCTGTAACGTTTGGAAGACGTCTTAAGAGGAGAAACAACTTCTATGGAAGAAAGAAGCTTCTCCTTATAAATCCTGAGCTCGAGGCCCTAGTGAGCCCTCGAAAGGAAAAACCTAGGAGGATCGAAGAGTACGGCATCGAAGTCAGCACCTTGGTTGCCGCGTCTGGAATATGGTTTTTTGGAGGTCTCGGGGTGAGAAAAGATGCACTACCAGTGTTGGAACAACAAACCAATCACTACCTCGACTCACCGAATGGGTCAAGATTGAATCTGATGTCAAAATGGCATTTGGGAATACAGCAGGAGAACTGTTGCACACCCTATACTCTGTGTGCAACACTGAGTAGCATCATTGATTTATACCTCTGTAGTACCTTCCTTCTCTAGTGTCAATTTGCAGTTCAGAAAGGGAGAGCTTCTTCGCGAGCTTACGCTTGGAAGGAATTGCCAAAGGCGTTTGCGGAGTAAGAATTGAAGAGACACGATATGGTTGGTATAATGCGATTACTACACAAAAGAGCTATCTCAAGCCTTTGCCATGGATTTCAGATATTGCGCACTGTGCGGGTAGTCGATGTATCCCTTTGGTGTTTTCGGGGTATAAAAAACTGAACGGTCATACTTGACTAGCGGTACGCTCTCCTTGACGCGAAAGACAAGATCGGGGTTGGCGACGAAGTACCTTCCGAATGCAATGATGACATCGTAGTCCTTGTATGCTTCGTCAACAGTCTGCTTCGCCGAATCGGGTAGGAAGCCTCCAGCTAGCATGACTGGACTTGCGTTATCCCACAGTTCAACCATCCAGCGCACAGTCTTCTGTCCTCCGCATTCCGAATCGTCGTTGCCGGTAATGCGGGCTTCGATAAGATGGAGGTAAGCTAAGCCTAGTTTCTTTAACTCTTCCGTAAGGTACTTGAAGGTCGGCTCGGGCTCGTCCATTAGCATGCCATTAAAGTCGCTGTAAGGACTTAGACGCATTGCCGTTCTTTCTGTGCCGACAGCCGCGATTACTGCCTTGGTTACCTCGAGGTGAAATCGCGCTCTTTGCTCAATAGTGCCTCCCCAACTATCTGTCCGTTGGTTGCAGGTCGTCTGTAAGAATTGATCCGGTAGATACCCATTAGCACCGTGTATCTCGACACCATCAAATCCTGCAGCAATCGCGTTCTTAGCTGCAGAGGCATAATCTGATATCGTGGCCCAGATCATCTCCTCGGTCATCGCATCTGGTGTCCGATCTTGAGGACTCATGGGGACCGCACTGGCGGAGACCATCTTAATACATTCCTCGTCTAGCGTATCGGGCTTCGCAGCACGGCCTTGATGCCAAAGTTGGCAGTATATCGCACAGCCTTTGGCGTGTACTGCTGTTGTGATATCTTTCCATGCATCAATCTGATTTTGCGACCATATTCCAGGGGCGTTCCGACATCCAATAGCGTTCCTAGAGATGATGATTGCCTCACTGACGATGAGGGTTCCTGGTACACATGCTCTTTGCTCATAGTACTCTAGAACAGTCTGTTAAAACCGTTCCTTTGCGACGATAGCAGTACATATACCTTTGCTCATGGGCGTCGCTTTGAAGTCATCGTCCATACGATACCGGGTCAACGGTGCCATAGCGACACGATGGTCTAGCTTAACATCCCCGACTATCAATGGGGTAAAAAGTCGTGACATCTCGGCAGGCGATACTGATTTTGTTTGAAAGATGGGCAAGCTTTGGTGATTCTTGCTGAAACCGAGTTTGCTCGCTATATCAATACTTCGTTATTGTTTGGTACTTGTGTAGCTGTGGACCATCACACGTATTATGGACGTTAGCTAGGACCCAACGATGAATTGCTGTACTTGTTATCAGCAGCTCGTAGCCCGCCTGACACACGAAATTTGTCAGGCTCACCCGTGATGCCGAGATTAGGCTGCACATTTGGAGTGCCATTCTCAGCATTCTGATCCGATATCAATGGGAATTGCAATCAACGAAGGATCAGGCGTTGGAGGTGCGTCGGCTGAAAAAGTGCCGATAAGAGGTCGCCATGCTAAAACGACCCACTTGGCGTCCCTGCCTCCGCCGGCTGCTTTCATCCGCAATGCCACCTACGCCATCGAAGCGTGTCAGCATTTCTGCCACGCGCGTAGACAGCTTAGCTGTAACTGGCTACTCTCGCAATGTCTCTGAGGGGAAAATACGTACCGATCCTGCAGGTGTCAATAGGCGTCATTGCGAGGCCCCGTCCCGCCCGGACAGCCTCCCGAAGCTCCACGTCCAGCTTCAACGCTAGCCACGATGTTTGGGGCCGTTGATCTTGTGCCTAATATACCCGTCCGAAGATTCGCTATGGTTTTGAGGCTCATTGCGATCCCGGAAGAATACCACGATGAGAGACCAACAGGCCTCCGTTTATGAGACGGACTCGATGCAGCTCGACAAAGAAAAGAACATATGCGTTGACCATACTCTTGCTGAGAAACCATCCAGAGACGACGAGCCAGACAACCTAGGAACACATACGAAAAGCTTTCACAGTCCACCCGCTTCGCCTACCATTCAACAAGCCGAGGATGACGACGATAGTGATGCGGCATCTATTGGCGGCCAAAGAAACACCATGACATCTACCCAACTCCGAATCGCCATTCCAGCTCTATCAGTCTGCCTCTTCGTCTCGTTTATCGACCAAACCAGTGTTTCAACAGCAACGCCTGCAATCGCTGTGGATTTGAACACTGGAACAGCAACATCATGGATCGGTACATCGTTTCTCATCGCATCGACGGCGTTCCAACTGATCAATGGCCGTCTATCCGATATCTTTGGTCGCAAGAATCTGTTGCTGATTAGTCTTACGTTGATGGCTCTGGGAGACCTTGGGTGTGGCTTCGCGCGAACAGCAGTGCAGCTGTTTGTCCTACGTGCCATTGCGGGTATCGGTGGCGGTGGCATTAACAGTCTTGTAATGATTATCGTCAGCGATATCACAACGTTGCAAAACCGCGGCAAATATCAGGGTGAGAAACCCAGCTTACGCATAACCACACGATACTAACACCTCTGTCTAGGATGGCTGGGTGCAATCATCGCTTTGGGAAACGGCGCAGGTCCCTTCCTTGGAGGCGCCATCGTTGAAGGGGCGACTTGGAGGTGGGTATTTTGGATAATACCTATTATGAGTGTGCCCACTTCCATGGTTATCCTATTCTTCCTACCGCTAAAGCATCGATCTGGTGATCACCTCGAAAAGATCAAAAAGATTGATTACGGCGGCATGCTGCTGAACATTGCATCCACCCTGCTCCTGCTCATTCCACTATCAGGGGGCGGTGTAACCTACGCATGGGCCTCTCCATTTTTCATCGCTTGCACTGTTATTGGTGCAGTGTTAGGCGTACTATTCGTGCTCTACGAGTGGAAACTTGTGGCTCTTCCAATCATGCCACTTCGACTGTACCGCGCACCGTACTGTTGGGCACTATATCTGCAGACATTCCTCATAGGTCTTGCGTACTTCGGCAACTTTTTCTACCTTCCAATCTACTTCCAGTCAGTTCTCAGGTATTCGCCCCTGGTTTCCGGTGCCTTGATCCTGCCGGTGGTTATCACGACCTCTTTCACGTCTATCGCGTCAGGCCAGTACATGAACCGGGTCGGCAGCTATATGCATTGCATCCTGCTCGGCTTTGGTTTGTGGACTCTGGGCAATGGCCTCACATTATTGTTCGACCGAGATACAAGTCTTGCTGTGTTGATCGTTGTCCTCATCATAGAAGGTGCTGGTATTGGTCTGACGCTCCAGCCGACACTTGTGGGCATGTACGCCAATAGTCGCGCAGAGGATCGCGCAGTGACGACCGGCTTGCGTAACTTTATCCGCACTATTGGTGGTGCTTTTGGCTTGGTCATCTCCGGTGTCATCCTCTCAAATACGCTCAGTCGAGACTTATCGAACAGGCCTTTCGTGTCAGACGATCTGATGAGCCAATTAACATCCTCAACGTATGACCTTGACCAGTTTGGTCTTTCCCCAGACCAAAAGCAAGACGTGTTCGACACGTATATGCTTGGCCTACACTACATCTTCATCTTTTTCACCGTGTGCTCAGGTCTAAGCTTGTCTTTGACATTCTGGGTTGGTAACACTAGTCTGAAAGCACCCAAAAAGCTGGACGAGGAAGGAGCACAGCCGACGATACCGCCGGATGAGCCTCAACAGGAAATTATCCACGGCGAAGAAGTTGGGATAAAGCAAAGGATGTCTGATGAGAAATCGAGGATAGGAGACGCCGTATAGCAAGCAACGTCTGCTCAAGTCGAATAGTGACATGACGAACTCATGAGATACACGGCCGAGACAGCGAATCACCAAAGCATTTTTGCATACAATCAAAGGTTCTCCGTGACACCCAATTATTAGCATATTGTGACACCAATTCCTCAGCATATCATTAAAATCCCTCAATCATGCCCTTGTTCGGCACCGTCCACAACTCATCACAGTCAAACAAGTGAAGCGACAGCGATTGCATTGGAACATCCAGAGCGTGTGGGGTAGCGAAATCGGAACACGGACGCGATTGTTCTCCGCTGTACCTCATTACTCACAATCAAAGTACCAGAAAGCTGTCTCCAGATCAACCTGGGCTTTACCCTGGGTATGCCCACATAGGTAGGTCCTGTACAGCCCCACAAAAGTCGGTCGTTATCGGCGACGTCGGATTGGCCTGTCCCCTCATCTCAGCGATCCCCCTCACGGCAATGTTCCACATGCGGTTCTTTCCAAGCCGATAGCTACTCCATTCTTCTGATAACACTGCGGTGGGTCGCATTCGGCCGCAATAATGAGATCTCATCGTGAGGCACGGCAAGGCCTGGCATGTCGCCGATTACGTGAAGGCGTCACGGATGAGAATGGCCGATAGCTTGGTAGATGATGAGGAAAGGCTATCGCAAGATGCTTCGCTGATGGTGCATATATGTTTGCGTCGCAAAGCCTGAGTAACGTCTACGTCAAATCTAGTATATCCTCTATTACCAAGTCTTACATCCCAGTCTTCAAGTACTCTCATCATGCCTGAAGTTTATGCCGCACCACCTGACTATGCCTTCCCACGCGAATTCAAAGGTTACGGGGAGAAGGGTCTTCAGGGCTTAAAATGGCCCAACAATGCCAAGGTTGCCGTATCTTTCGTCATCAACTATGAGGAGGTAAGTTGCCGTCTAGTTACTCTTAAATCTCGAAATATCGTTAACATACCAAAGGGCGGCGAACGCTCTGTGATGAAAGGCGATGGAGTTTCTGAAATCAACCTTCGCGAATACCCAGCGCAACACAGAATAAACGAACGCGACTACAGCGGCGAGTCAGAATTCGAATATGGTTCCCGTCGTGGATGGTGGCGTATCTTCAAGCTGTTCAACGATTACAAGATGAAGTTTACCCTCTACGCTGTCGGCTCAGCCGTAGAAGAACAACCAGAGGCTGTCATCCGAAGCGTGGAAGAAGGCCATGATATCGCTTCTCATGCTTACCGCTGGATAGACCATGCCAACCTCTCTGTGGAGGCTGAGAAACAGCACATCAGAGATGGTATCACGTCATTGAAGAAGCTTGCTGGCTATGCACCAAAGGGATGGTACTATGGTCGTCCATCACCACAAAGCAGAGCTCTGATTCCGCTAGTATATGAGGAGATGGGCGAAGAACTTCTATGGGCTAGCGACACATACGCCGATGACCTTCCTTACTGGACCGACCTGCCTCACGAGCGTGGTAGCGCAAACCCCAAAGGTTGTTTGATGGTTCCCTACAGCTACGACTGCAACGACTTCAAATTCCACTGCCAAGGAACTGGCTTCCGCAGCTCGGGAGCTTTCTACGAGCATTTGAAGAATGCTTTCGATGTGCTGTATGAGGAGGGCGAAGCGGGTGAGCCAAAGATGATGACTATCGGGTTACATTGCCGCATCATTGGCAGGCCAGGAAGGTTCAAGGCGCTTCAAGACTTTGTGAAGTATATCTCAGAGAAGGAAGGGGTTTGGGTTGCGACTCGGACTCAAATAGCAGAGTCTTTCAGAGAACAGTTTCCTTACAAGAAGGGCCAGCTCGCGTAGATAGTCAATAAGAAATTGTTGAATGTTGAACCTGGATCATCTTCGGCACATAAGAGGCCATTGTGAATAATATAAGTGAGGGCGACGGCTATGAAGTTGCCTATCTATACTCTCCGAAGTTCCATTGACTACCATCCACCATACCGCGGGTGTCCATCTGCATTGCTGCGTCTTGGATCGGATCTACGCCATAAAATCCAGAACCATCGTAAGCATCCCAGCTCATCTCAGTCTGATTTTGACTCACACCATCGAATCGCATCGCTGCACTTGCTGCAGAGGTCGTATCATCGCTTACCATTTCGTTGAACATACGCCACCCTTGCCATCCGCCGGGTGCCTCTTCATCAACCTCCATAAAAGCCTCTTTCACAGCGTCCGTGACCATATGCGACATGGTAGGCTTGTTGCTATACGTTGGAAGGTGTGACGCTTGTTCGCGACTCTCTCGTCGACTCCGCGGCGTTATACCAGGCTCTGCATCCATATCAAGCTGCAGCGGTCTCGAACCGTTACCGTGCATCGTCGTAGTAGGCGTTGAGTTGACAATTGTTTTGAACAAGCTTCCGGATAATGCATCGAAGATGTCGCGATATTTGACGGCACCGGGCCATTTCTCGCCGAAGATGGTCAAGATCTGTGAGCAGGCCCGTGTTGCCTCTAGAACATCGTAGGAAAAGAGAGATCGATCCCGCCAAATGCAGTACACCAGTGTCAAGCCAGCTACGAAACACGAATGGAGGGAGATCATAGTGTAGGTCAGTGTTCGGTTCTGACTCAATCGCTTGTATGCGTTACAAACACAAGCCGCTGAGCGCGCACATGTGATGAAGCGCATGTCTGATGTGTCGAGTGTAGGAAGAAAGACGGTGAAAAGGAACAGCATTGCTTTGTGATACTGAACACCATAAAAGTCTCGTGCGTCAAGATATGCGCTTTCCGGATCGTACATCCAGGTGATCTTGTTTTCCTTCTTCGGTGTCTGCGGATAGGTTCGCAGCCATTCGTCCAGATCGCTCCGAATGGCAGCCATCTTTCGGTCAAGTTTAGCCCGCTGTTCCGGTGTCCCATTGAAGACATCTCTATCAACGCGGAATACTGCCTTATGAATGCGTGACTGGATCTGGTCGAGTTTGATGATGTGTATGAAAGGCTCGATATTTGACCACTGAGCTTTATCCGAGTCTGGAACTTCTGAATGTGTCAAAGTATAGAACTCGGGACTGGTACTAGGAAGCTTTTGAACGCGTCAGTGAATACACCATAACTCGGTTTGGCAACATACCTCGACATTAATGTCTCGATCAGCGATAGCAAAAGCCCTGCCAAGCACAATACTAGTCACCCTATCAAGGCAGTAGCACGCCCAGAAATTACGCCGCCGAATTTCTGCATCCCTTGCGTGCGCAGGGGAGTCCATCACCGTCTTCTTCCTGTGCAAACCCATCTCGATGCACACGGATGTTGCAAATCGGATCTGAGACCAGGCGCCTGCACCATAAGGTGACCTCTGGCCGTGTACTCCAAGCAAGATAAGGAATTGTACCGTCGCAAGGTTGTGCTGGTCTAAGATATAGTCCATTGGCTCGGTAGCTGCAACAAGATGATGCTGCGATCTGTGAGTTTCATAGCATAGTCTGCGCTAGTAGGTCTTACCTCTGAATCTATACCACAAGGCTTTCGCGTTAGAGACAGGAAGCGAGCAGTTATGGCATATATCAAATGGAACATGCTGCGTTCAATGATAGTCAGGGCGCCTCGAACAAATTGCTTTTCGAAAAGTCTTGTATAAACCACGCGATCTAGCAACGGCCAGCGCGTATGTATGCGTTCGAAGAAGACATCAAACAACATACGCGCCTGGTGTCGATCCGGAAAGTCGGCGCCGGTTTCTTCGGAATGAGTAGATTCAGGAGGGGCAGGTGGTCTCGAAGTTCCTGTAGCCTGACATGTTTGAGACACGGGTTGAGTAACTGCTCTCTTGCCAGAACTTCGGAAGATGGAGGACTGGATGATGCGAGCAATGGTGGCACCGGAACTAGAGCCGACATAGTAAGGTTCTGAGGTTGTATCTGTGGTTCCAGATGCGCATAAAGACAGATAGGCAACGCCGTCAACGAGTGAGGTCCGATCCTCACCCTCGAGATCTTCAGAAAAACAGTCTTCTCGGGATTCGCGGCGCGATGCACTGGGCTGAGGCTGGAGAACCAGAGCGGGCTCTTCAACATTCATAGAAGACGTGTTCTGTAGACTCTCTGGGCCATGGTCATAGTGGTCCTCAGCATGATCGGGAAGGCGGGCCTCAAGAAAGGCGATTCGTTCTTCTAAAGCATTGATATAGCTGAGGAGTCAGAAGCAGATCGCAGGTACGTTGAAGACCACAGGATGAACCTACACAGACTTGCCGCCGGGGTACTGAGGACGAATGGTCCTCTCATACGCACAAGCTACCCCAGCTCGCTGGCACGATCTGCAGACTGGACGTGCACCATCACACTACATCATCTTTAGCCCATGCTCTCGCAGGAGGCAGTGTGCGACGTGACGTACACGCTGCTTTCTTCGCTTGCACCTTTTGCAAGCCAAGGCGACGCGAGACTTCCTAGTTGCAGGGGGTGGAGGACTCGTGGAGTTTGACTGAGATTGAGCAGCGGAATTCGATACCTGTACTGGATCCGCTGCCGAATCTATCACCCCCTGGCTGGTAGAGGGGCTTACGGGGCTCTCTGGGTAGGACTGCAACATGGCCTCGTCGTCGAAAGTATGGCAAGAAAGTGACAGCCCTGCAGCTTTCGGCTCGAATCCATACCGTTTAGATCCATATTTCTCCACGTGCGATAGTCCATTGAAGAGGTGGGATGTATGAGCCGACGTGTATCTTATCGCGAATTGTCCCGAACAGGCTAAGATGACACATCACGTGGTCTTATCTCGGCTGCATTCATCCATGGGGTTGGGGTCTCCAAAGATTACAGAAGGACTACGCCGCAACAAGAAACATGTCGGAGTTGTACAGCGTCCTCCTATCTCTACCCCTGCTGTTTATCGCGTCGTAGGTGCTCCTGTAAGGCTTGGGGAGAACTGATGGGCGCATGGCAACATGGTCGGCTAAAAACTCGCCGAAAGAGGCTTCCCTAGAAGCCATGCCTTTGGTCAATCAAGGTCCGATATGCCTGTGATACGTGAACGATCTGGAGTTGGCGTAAGGTCCGATCGACATATGAGAAACCATGGTCCGCCAACATGAAGATGGTTTGGAAGGCTGTGAACATCCAGTAGTCAATCACACCAGACCACTACAGCACTATGGGAAGAGTCCGGTTCCCGACCAAGGATCGGTTCGCAGCACCCTTCCGTTCCAAGGAAGCGTTTGTCGACTTCATCAGAGCCCCACAAGGCAATGATGGTCATGCCCCAATTGGCGACGAAAGATGGTCCAACAAAGATCTTGAGCCAACGCCAGTTGAACAGAGAACTTGGACTTGGTGAGTACCATCAACGACGAATGCTTTGAAGCGTCTTCTGACAGATAAAGGTTCAATCTGCCGTTGTACTGGTTCTCCAACCAATTCTCCCTTGTTGGCTGGAACACTGGCTCCGCTCTCGTAACCGTCGGCCTGACATGGCAACAATCCTTCGTATCGGCCTGTATTGGCTCTTTCCTTGCTGCGGTCGTAGTTGTTCTCATGGCCCGACCAGGCGTGAAGTATCACATCGGATTTCCCGTCATCGCAAGATCAGTACGTAACGCCGTTGTACGAACTGCATGTGAGACATATACTGACTTGGTACACCAATCTTTAGGTCATGGGAATGTACGGCTCTTACTTCTTCGTCTTCATCAGAGCCATTGTGTGCATCATCTGGTACGGCATTCAATCCTTCTACGCTGGGAACATCCTCTCGGTGATGCTCCGTTGCATCTTCGGTAGCTCTTGGGAGAACTTTACGAACACTCTTTCTCCTAATGCGAGCGTCACCTCAAAGCAACTTTTGGCTTTTTTCATGGCTTGGCTAATGGAGTTTCCGTTCATGTGGGTCCATCCCAGGCACATCCACTACATCTTCACGGTGAAAGGATTTATTATGCCAATTGCGGCTTTTGCAGTATTCGGATGGTGCATGGCCAACGGAGGTGGACTGGGCGCAATGGACCTTGCTTCCAACGAAGGCGAGCTTGCTGCCTCGGTGACCCCTCTAGGATGGAGCATCATGGCCGGCATCAATACCATCTTCGGTTCCCTCTCGCCTATGTTGGTCAACCAACCCGATCTTGCTCGATACTGCAAGAAACCTCGAGATGCTGGTATAACCCAGGGTATCAGTGTCTTCGTGGCCTCCATTATCGTGTTCTTCTTGGGCATGGCCTCTACGACTTCTATGCAGGCAGCATATGGCGTTGCCTACTGGAATATTTGGGACCTCTTCGAGGCTATTCTGGACCACCATTTCGGCGCTGGTGCGCGTGCGGGTATTTTCTTCGCCGCTCTGGCATTCTATCTCGGAGTCTTTGCGACGAACTTTGGAGCGAACTCCATTCCATTTGGAAGTGATATGACTGGTCTCTTCCCAAAATGGCTTACCATTCGTCGTGGCCAGGTGCTTTGCGCCATCCTCGGTGTAGTCGTGCAGCCGTGGCAGTTGATGAAGAATGCTTCAGCCTTCTTGAGGTAAGCTCCTAATTAAGTCTCGCATTGATCATACTAACAGTCGACAAGTTTCCTGGGTTCCTACAACATCTTCATGGCACCTCTTTGCGGTGTCATCATCGTCGATTATTTCATCGCACGAAAGGGAAACATACACGTACCATCTTGCTACGATGGTAAAAAGACAGGCCTCTACTGGTTCTGGTCCGGTGTAAACTGGAGTGGCGTGGTGGCATGGCTACTTGGTACTACTATGGGCATTCCAGGACTCATCGGCCAGTACGAGCCGCAGATCATATCGGCAGCTGCACAAAATATGTACCGTATGGGCTGGCTATTGACCTTCTTTACGGCAGCGACGATTTACTGCGTCCTTACTCTCTTAGTCAAACCTCGAGTATTCCCAGTCGGACGAGAGAGCACGCCGTTTGAACAGGAATGGCTAGCGAACGAGGGCCGCGAGGGCTTCTTTGACGGAGATAGAGATGGTGGAGAGATTTATGCCGCTGCAACACCTCCTATGACTGATGGAGGAGACGACGTTGAGATTGGCGAGAAGTCACCGAAGGTTACCTTCTAAATCCGGAGAAGCGAGAAATAGTGCGGTAGAGCCGAAATCGTATCCACGCATCTACATAACTGAACCATGATAACTTGAAATCATATTTTCTGTGAAGCAATCGTGCTACTTCTTTGCAGCCTATACCAGAACGTGTGTAAGATTCTTTGACAAGCTACCAGGTCCAGAAGCCACTTCTACCTGTGCTCCGCATGTTGATCAATTGAAGTTCCGATCGGAACCGACGTTCCGAAAAGGTGGGATGCCGTTATCGGCTCCAACTGTGAGTACCTTACCCTTGTAAGACAAGTACTAGGCTATCGCAATCAGCGGGCCTACACGGGACATGTAACAGCTGCCTGTTGCGATGCGGGTCACTTGAGCCGATGGCATCGTTAACGCGTCGTTGCCTTCGGCGTCTAATGACACTACAACTTTACAACTCAAAGAGACCACGTCTTCAATCCTCTCTTCATAACACCGCAGCAAACCTCAACTGTCACCTACGTACATACTAGTAGCAGCTATATAAAAATAGTTAGATCATTGAACTCTACGAGACCATGAGCTCCGATCTCTACAGACTCACAGCCAGCGAGATCTCGGCGAAGATCAAAGCAGGCGAAACTTCAGTCGAAGAATACGCAAAATCACTTCTTGCACGCATCGAATCGCGCGATGAGGCCGTTCAAGCATGGGCATACCTTGATCCCGAGTATGTTATCAAGCAGGCGAGAGCGCTCGACGCCATTCCAACAGCTGAACGAGGACCGCTGCATGGCGTTGCCATCGCCGTAAAGGATGTCATCTACACCAAGGGTGAGCCACCGGGATTGCCGTTCAATCCGACTTGACTAATCTCCTAGGTATGCCTACACAATTCAACTCACCCATATATGCCGACGACGCGCCACAAGTAGATGCTGGCTCCATAGCGATACTACGCAAGAACGGTGCACTCATCTTCGGTAAAACAACCACGACCGAGTTTGCTGCAACAACCACCGGCCCAAAAACACGGAATCCGCACGACCCAAAGCGTACTCCTGGTGGCTCTTCATCCGGATCTGGAGCCGCAGTGGGCGATTTTCAAGCACCTATTGGTCTAGGTACGCAGACCGGTGGCAGCACCATTCGTCCTGGCTCGTACAACGGCATCTACGCCCTCAAGCCCACATGGAACTCTGTAACCCGCGAAGGCCAAAAGATCTACTCGCTAATTCTGGATACACTTGGTCTCTACGCCCGCAGCGTGGCTGACCTGGAACTCCTCGCCGACGCCTTTGCCATTCACGATGATGCTCCGCCTCCAACAGATTACACAGTGAAAGGTGCGAAGTTCGCCTTTCTCAAAACGATGGTCTGGCCAAACGTTGGTCCTGGCACCTCGGCCGCACTTGACAAAGCTGTCTCGCTCCTTCGTGCACACGGAGCTGAGGTCGAGGAGATTGAGTTCCCAGAGTATCTGAATGAGTTGCCAAATCGGCACGCGACAGTACTCAACTCTGACGGCCGAACTGCGTTTCTTCCAGAGTATACGGTCGCTAAGGACAAGATCTCGGAACAGCTCGTAGGCCATGTTGAGAACAGTGGAAAGATTTCGCGCAAGGCGCAACTTGAAGCCTTTGACGAGATCGCAGCAGCAAGGCCGATCGTGGACGATATACTTGGCAGATACGATGCCGTACTTACACCGAGTGTGCCAGACGAGGCGCCGTTGGGGATTGAGAAGACAGGAAGTGCGGCTTTTTGTTTGATCTGGACAGTAGGTTATGCCGTAAACTAGCGGGTGAGACTTGACTAATACGCGTAAAGGCACTGCATACACCAGTAGTAAACGTTCCAGGGTTCAAAGGCGAAAATGGAATGCCAATCGGCATATCGCTCGTTGCGCCTCGCTACCATGACAGACGATTGCTCGCTGTAAGCAAAAAGGTGGGTGAGATCTTCGAAGCTGAGGGTGGATGGAAATGCTCTGTATAGGTTTATTGTAAATGTGAATCAACAGATTGGACCATAATAACTCTGAAACATTCATGAAATACGTATGTTGACGACATGGATCTGTTGTGTGTTTGCGTAGAAAGCTGGACGGGCAATGTAGAGGTAGATTACATAATGCGGCGGTCGGCGGTTGACTGCAGACATTCGCCGACAGCCTTAGAGCTTCGCGTGTCCCGACATCATCATCATCGCTTGCATCCAATCTCACAATCATGGCGCCGCGCACACGGCTGGCAGCCACTACGGCTTCCGGACTACTGCGAAGCTCAAGGCGGCTCGCAATCCCAAGAAAATCTCCACTTGCTACTGTTCTGACAGCGTCGTCGGTCCGCAGCTTCTCGCAGCTCAACTCGCACTCCGCCACAGATCCGACTAATGTCTTCGCTTCTTTCGGCAGCTCCAGCTCCAACTCCAAGTCCGGGCTTCCCTCTTATTTTTCGTCAAGCAAGCGTCTGCCGACAAACACAGTGATCCGCTTCGTGCCACAGCAAACAGCATGGATTGTAGAGCGCATGGGAAAGTTCAACCGCATACTGGAGCCGGGTCTTGCCGTCCTGATACCCTTCATTGACAGGATCGCCTATGTCCGGAGTCTGAAGGAGAATGCCATCGAGATTCCCAGCCAGAGTGCCATCACAGCGGACAATGTCACGTTGGAGCTCGATGGTGTGCTTTACACTAGGGTCTTCGACGCATACAAGGCCAGGTAAGCATACCACACTACAAGAGCCACTGGCGGGTCTGACAAGTCGCAGTTATGGTGTAGAAGATGCCGAGTACGCCATCTCCCAACTGGCGCAAACCACGATGCGCTCCGAGATCGGTCAGCTCTCCCTCGACCACGTCCTCAAAGAACGCGCCAACCTGAACGCCAACATCACGGCCGCTATCAACGAGGCAGCACAAGACTGGGGCGTCACTTGTCTCCGATACGAGATCCGTGACATCCACGCACCCGAGCCCGTCGTCGAAGCCATGCACCGCCAAGTAACTGCCGAACGTTCAAAGCGAGCCGAGATCCTGGAATCAGAAGGTCAGAGACAGTCTGCTATCAACATCGCCGAGGGAAAGAAACAGTCAGTCATTCTGGCCTCTGAGGCCTTGAGGGCTGAGCAGATCAACATGGCAAACGGAGAGGCTGAGGCTATCTTGTTGAAGGCTACTGCTACTGCCAATGGTATTGACGCAGTTGCTCGCTCCATCTCTCAAGGCGGGGGCGCAGCACAGAACGCCATCTCGCTTTCCGTCGCTGAGAAGTACGTGGATGCATTCGGCAACCTGGCTAAGGAGGGCACAAGCATTGTTGTTCCGGGCAATGTTGGCGATATGAGTGGCATGATCGCTAGCGCCATGGCAGTATACGGCAACGTCAATGCTTCCCAAGCAAAGGCGCAAGCGTCCAAGATGGTCGAGGGCGGCAACAACAAGCAAATCCAAGAGCTCCAGAGCAAGTTGAACGATGCTGAGAGTGGATCGAACCAGATGCACAACGAGATCAACAGGGTCATGGACGAGAGGTTGAACAAGCGGTAGCCAGTACCCTTGGATGAGCGATGACGGGGCAGGGACGGGATACGACTGTATATTATACCACGCTGTATAACTAGCAACGAACCAGCAAGCGATTGCATTGGGGTTACGGTTATTGGATATGGGCATGACCCAAAAACAAGCATCATTCGCGGAGTCTTCTCTCTTCCATTTTGGAACTCCACTTCTCGTATGTGTATAGAGGATAGCGAACACAACGACACTTCACTTCCAATCCGAATTCTAAACCAACCGCTCCACAGCTTCAGCAGCCAGAATCGCGATTTGCTTTCCGTCTTCCCAGATCCAATCATGACCGCCCTTGAGATCCCGCACATTGACCACTCTTCTTCCTTCAGCCTTGACTTCGTCTTCATCATCCCCAACTTCCATGACAATATTGAACCCCTCCCTATCCAGCGCAACACACATGACATCCCTCTGGGCTCTCTCCACCAGCTCGTCTTCGTAGCTATGGCATAGCACCAATAGCTTACCCTCCGGCCACTGTTGTGCATTGTACTTGCCCGAAACAGGTGACACGGCCTGCCACTCTGCTTGATCCTCACCAAAAGCCCCGATGATGAAGTTTTTATATATCTCCGAAATGTACTCTGGAGTTGTAGGCGGAAGATGATTCCGAATGAGTAGCGGTAGGTTGTAGATGCCTGATATCAGAATCAAGGCTTCTGGTTGCGGGGAAGGAAGAAGTTCAGCCGTAAGACCGACATGAGAGATGAGTTGGCAGAGCAGTGTAGCGCCGCAGGAATGTCCTATTCCTATCCATCTCTTCATCCCGTATTCGCGCTGTAGATGTTGTATTCCGTGCGCGACGTCGCGAACATGTTGTGGGTGTCTAGCAGATCGCTCAGGATCGCCAGGTGTACTTGGCTGTGTTGTGTGGTCGGGGTAAGGAGAAAGTCTATAATTAAGACTTGCGATACCTGCGATGTTGTCCAGCGTTGCCGAGTGCGAAGCGACAAGATGTTTGATAGTAGGCTCAAAGCTTTGCGATTCTATGAGGGGGTCGCGCCATGCGCCGCCGTGGATGTAGACTAGCCATATCGCTTTGTTGGCATTTTTGGACGTCTCCTCGAGGGGCCGGGGTAGCCAGATATCGAGGGTCTGAAGGCGACTTGGGGGATCGCTGTAGGGGATGGAAGGGATGTGTCTGGGGAAAGTGGTGGCTGTCATGTTTCAATCAGATTGGGTGAGGTAATGTTTGGCGGGGTGTTTGGCAAATGCTAGGCAGTGAGGTTTGCCGACCTCGGCATGGATGTCAGTCATGGCGAAAGTTGATCTGGAACATTTATACTTCTGGATGTGCGAAGAAACTTATTGACGGCGGCTTCTTTTCGTTCACAGCAAACAACCAAGTCACGAGGGCCTCAACTGTGTCGGAACGGAACGTACCCGACGGCCGGTTGATCCGTCCGATGCTGATATGTCTTAGCATCGCAAGGGCTAGATACCAATATCCATTTTGATAGATGCATCACAAGCAAGAACGTCTGAGCAATCATTTTGTATCCAAATGTTTGATATATTTTCCCAACATCATGTACAAAAAGGTACTACTAACATGGCCGATGTTTTCATCCAAGCCATGACTAAACTTAACAGACATTATTTCCGTCAAAGACACATGCCAGTGCCGACGCCGCAGTGTTGCAATGCAAATCTGTTACGCAATGCTAATGCAAGACCCAAGGTATCTCAAGGACCGCTATCCTCATAAAAATAAAACGTCGAAGCTAAAATGAACAAACAATGCGATCAATGCGTTTACAAGAACGCAGCCATGAAGGCACCGAAACCGACAAGGCTACCAGCGGCAGCCTTGACGTTGACGGCAGCACCAGTAGCGTCAGCACCAGCACCGGAGCCAGTAGCAGTACCAGAGGCGTCAGAGCCAGTGGCATCAGCACCGCTGCGAGATGCGCCGGAGCCAGTAGCGTCGGCGTCAGAGTTGGTAGGCGAGGCAACAAGAGCGACGGTAGTGCTGTTGTTGGCGCTGACGGTGACAGTGCGGGTGGAGTTGACCATAGAGCCGGTGCCGGTTCCAGCAAGAGTGAGGGTGTGGACACCAGGGCCAACGGCAGGGATGTCAGCAGGTACTGGCTGAGTGGTGACAGCAGCGGGCTGGCTGGTGACAGCGTCAGGCTGAGTAGCGATGGAGGTATCAGCCGCGGGCATGCCAGTTACGACACCGAGAGAGTTGGTCTGGGTGAGGTAGGTAGTCTGGGGAGCCGGGTCGATGGAGGATGAGGGAGCGGAGGATGAGTCCTGGATGAATGTTAGCCGTCCATTCGGAATAGTATGCGAATTGATGGATGAGAACGTACCTGGGCCGATGCAACGGCGAAAGCAACAGCGGAGACGAAGATGGAGGCGCGCATGTTGACGGTTGTGTTGTGTTTATTTTGAACGATTGAACTCTGTAGCGATAGTCTTTGACGAAAAGGATGTCAAGTAGCGATTGAGACGATGCGAATAGTGATTGAGTGATGCGAGATGAGAAGCAAACTTCAAGCTTTATGAGAGACGCGTCCTCCTTTTATTGCCTCTGCTCCATTTCACCCGCACCCAAGAGCAAGCATCGGAGCTAACCCTGGCCCTGGAACGCCACTTTGACCCGGCAACCAGCCCTAACGCGAGCCCCATACTATCCCTGAACAGGCGGACTGTCGTCCAGACAAGCGTCTAGCGGCCTCCACAACCAATAATAGCATTCTCCGTGGCGAGGATGTTTCGTGTTCGTGATCGAGGCGGAGATTTTTTCTATTGAATAGACTTCTCCTTCCAGGCGTCCAGACGGCGATCCATATCATCGACCTTCACATGGGTAGCCTGGATGACTGTCATCGCTGTAAGATTCGAGATGGAAGCTTGTGTGTCGTTGCGCCGACCCAGGTGAGCCTCAGGCGCTTCCTGCTGTGCCTCTTCCCAGCCATGCTTCCTGTCCCGGGTTTCGAAACCAATTCGCATCCTGCAACCCGTATGGTGCCACCAAACAAACCATGTTCCTATAGGAACAGTGCACATCTTGTCGTCATTTCCCCATCCAATCGCCTGTTTACCCTAGCACATCCTCCACTTTCTCTCTTTTTTTGCGCCCATGCACTTCATGCACCGGTCAAACGTCAAACGGCTACCCACCACCCACCTGTTGCTTTCCCAACCATTTTCCCAACCACATGTGCGCCAGCCTCGGGCTATGCTGACACATAATCGATACCGAGCCGCAAAACACTAATCCCCAGACACACGCTATAGCTTAGCATGCCGCAGATGCAGAATCTTCGCGTTGTTGATGGCAAGACTAATTACGCGTCCAATGAAGTTAGCCTACTAAAATTAGTTGTCTTGTCGGCGTGACCTCGTGTCGAGAAGATTCGTTGTGCTGCCACCGCGGTGGCCGTGCGTCTTCGTAAAGTGCGGGCTGAGCAGGGGGCCTGGAACGGAAAACGGGCCCGGAGTCAGTCTGGGCTAAGTCTGGTGGGAAGCGAAATGGTGATGTGATGCGAGCGGGATGCTGCGATCGAGATGTCGGGACGTCCGTTGAGTAACGTTGATCTTTCTGGCACAGGTTCAATTGACATGCGCATAGGGGGTCGCGATTCCAAGGTTCAACAGATGGCGCGCTTGCTGCATGCAGCGCGCCAAGGAAGTGACAGGCAAGACTGCGAGACACCTCTTCTCAACCTCGCCAGGCCGCCAACACTCTTACAACACTCTCATGAAGATGCAACGCCCTACAGGGCGCAGTCCTCAGCGCACCGCCTATTTTCGACTCCCCGCAGGATCAGCGATTGATCATATGTGGGCACGGTGGCGCCGGCGCGATCACGTTAGAATGGGCTTTGCGTGTGGGTCTAGCTTACCACATGTCTAACATCCAAGATGAAATGCTACACAAGAGGCGGGCAGGCAGCGATGGTTTCGACCTATCAAGCCACAATCTTTGACATATCTTTCAGAAAGCTTATATGTTCCTCTGAAATGTCGACAAATCCGCGAAGATTATCTATCTGACGGCTAAGCGTGAAAAACTCTCAACAACATCTCTGACGATCCGACATACCTCGCCAATACCGTCTTGCACCATCGTCAACAAGTTCTACGAATGCGACGGACCTGTTCTACCTTAACACGCCAGGATACAAATCCCGTTATCTGATTCACAACGCACTGTTGAAAGGCACAGTGAATCGTATCTCGAGTACCAGTAGTGAAATATAGCACTGCCATGGCGAATAACGTGAGGGCACATAAACCATATGTAACTTTCTTGTCTGCACTCGCCGTAAGTCATTATCCATAGGTAACCTCCACGCTCTCCATAGTTCATTTATCAACACTATCGGATCTCACCTTACACAATCTTATCCATGTTTTGTTGCAAAACTAGCGCTTTATCTCAATTTCAACCACATCCCTATCAGTCATGACACAAACAAATAAGACGAAGGGACGCATGACCTACATATGAACGCACTTGCAGAGCTACTGAAACAGTTAACGGTCACATCAATTCCAGCAATGCCCTCGATGCCATTCACGAGCACACCTCCAAATATGCAGTCTAATATTATCTCTCGTCTCTCAGCCGAGTTGCGTCATATAGTCTACTCACACCTCAACATCCCCGTTGGAGGCCATGTTTGGATTACAGGTAGAGTCGTTAGGGCAGTCACTGATACCTCCCGCATCATCTTCTACGGCGATGCCAGGTGGCCCATGAGGGTGCACGCGCCTTTTGGAGAATTCCAGGTGCGACGGAAGATTAATAATTTGCTCTCATACGGAGCCTTCCAGAGAATGCTCGCCGAGCTGGATAATGGAGATGTTATCGGTTGTAACAGAGTTTTTATTGAGCGAAACTTGCTGCGCATCAACAAAGCTACAAGGACGGAGCTCATGGACCTGGTGTTCGGACGTAACGAAGTCGAAGTGAGTTTTTCGATGCATGATGAACCTAATCGTATCCTAGAATTATACAGGATAAGTCATATTGGTACCATAAACCACGTTCATCGCCTCCCTTGTGCACTGGCACATATGACGACGATTACTACCAGGAGCTCCGAACGCGAGATGAAGAATGGCTGCCAGTCTCTTCAGTTCATCGCGGTGAGCTTTGCCAATCTGCGCCGTCTGACGTATCACATACAGTCGAAGTCGTTATATCTGACCCCTACCGAAGAAGTCATCGCCCTAATAGAGGCGTTTAGGGATATCGCAGTGACCGCGAAGAAGCTTGAGATGCTACACTTTGCATGGAATGAAGAGGATTTGACCACTGGTCAGTGCCAGAGTTCTGAATAACAGGAGATGATTCTAGATGAGCCAAAGTGGGATGCGATCGTGCTGGAAGTCCAGCAGCTTCTGGATGGACTGAAGAAAAAAGCAGAATTTGGGTTTGGGTCTGATGGGCGGAGACGGAAGCACGAATAGCTGAAATACGAAGATAGCGATGTGGGAGTAAGGGATAGGACGAGAGAAAGGTTTTCGTTGGTTCGAAGCGTCAGTTGATCATCTTTGACAAACGATGGGATCCTTTCATGAAAGCGTCTGTGGATTGGAGTAGTCTAATCAGAATGTTTCGTAGACGTAACCTATGCAACGCTGTTTGTGACTTCGACAAACTTTTGCCACTCGCTGTATGCGGCTCCACTCGAGATCGCCCATTTAGCTCTCCTGACACCTTCTTTCCAGCGTCCACCTCCTGGGCCAACCTCCTTGATGACATTCCCATCGTCACCCTCTCCCATGTTGCTCGTGTCCGCGTCACAGATACCACTGACGACGAACAACGCCGCAGTGTTAATGTAAACGAAATGCAAGATTGGGTCATCTGGCGGAACCTCGCCCATCAGAATCTTCATAAGGATTTGCGCATTTTGTTCGGGTGACTGCCCAGGGCTGACTTCACTAAGAGGGTGCTCGGGAAGCCCAAAGTCCGCTGGTGTAACAGTGAAGTAGTTGATGTTAGCCTCGCCTGTAGAAGCATCCTCGACTATTCGCCAGCAATGCGTTGGTCCAGCGCACGAGAGTTCGTCTAATTCCTCGTCACCGCAGATGATCATGCCTTTCTTGCAACCAGACTGCTTCAGCGACTCGGCAAAATCGGGTCCAATCTCTTTCCTTGCTACACCTAGAACGCGCGCTTCAATCAAATCATGTAGCGGGTTCGCCAAAGGTCCGAGAAGGTTGAAGATAGTGCGCCAGCCCAGTTGCCTTCGGATGGAAGCAGCGTGTCTGGCTCCCGGATGGAAAATAGGGGCAAACAGGAAAGCGTAGTTTGTCTTTGAGTAAATTTCGTGGATGGTATTGGGTGCGATGGCAGTGATGACCGGTGGCTTCGGAGGTGCGCAGGACAGAAGGTCTGCTGAGCCAGAACGTGATGTTGATGCTTTGTTTCCGTGCTTTGCAATCATAAGAAGAGCGCTGGCGAGGATGGACGATGTGGTACTGATGTTGAAAGTGTTGTGGGAATCACCTCCTGTGCCAACTATGTCGCACAAGCCTCCATGGTAGCCACCCTCTTTCCTTCCTCGTTGGCTGATGAGTTCTTGAAGACCTTTGACATCAATGCCAGTGGCGTAGTCCCGCATCGCCTTGGAACATTTGGCTAATACTTCAGCTTGTCTGTCTTGGTCTGTGAAATGGAGACATGTCAATAAGGCTCCTGTTTGGACTTCGGATAGGCTGTTTGTGAATATCAAGGCGAGGGCAGCTGCTATCTCGTCGGCTGTTGGTTTGGTTGTGGGTGACTCATGCCAGAGTCGCTTGAGAAGGGGTGTGATGGATATTTTCTTATCCTCGTCGCCAGCTTGGGTAGCCATGATGTAGGCTGACAGTCGTGGTCCTTGCGCCCTTGTCCTACTCCAGCATATGCGAGCTGGCGGGGTAGTTGGCGGGGTGTGTGTGTGTTGGTGGTGACAATGTATACCAATTGGTAGTCTTGGTATGACGAAGTTAGGACCGAAAGGATGCGTTCTCTAGAAGACCCTGAAATAAAGCGACCAGTTGAGTCACAGTATGGCCGCACGGAGGTGCTTTCAAAGTCCGCACCTAGGTCACAATATGCACCACGATGAGGGCTCCACCACGCTAGCCCATAAGCCGTTAGCCACACAAAACGCCGATGCCAAGGCTCTCAAAATCTCGACTCAGTGCTCTGGCAGGCGTGGAATCTTTCCAAGGTCGTGACGGGTCAGAGTTTCTTCTCTGACGGACCTTGTAGCTCCACCTTTCGCGACACCAACCAAATCAAATGGGGAAGAAGCGAACCCATGCCGAGACCAAAGATGGCTTTACGAAGCCTTCTCCGGATAAGAGTCGGATGAGCGCGAAGAACGGCACCAAGGACGGCGCGCGAAACGACAAGAAAGACCAGCGCAAGGATGGCGAGAGCAAGAAATCGCGGTCGCAGCTGGTGCGCATCATCAGGACAAACATTTGATGCATAACGGTGCTAATTTGCAGTAGCTTCTCAAGCCGCAGCCGGAATGGCATACAATAGAACTGCCACAGCTTCCGACTGTCGACAATCCCACGATCCCGCCCCGTTACATCATCGACGCCATCCACGAATATGCCATCCAACTCCTCGACACAGAGGCCAAGGAGTATGCATCGTCGCACTTGGCCAAGGACTCCTCACACAAGTTCATGGCGACCGTTATGGACTCTGGTACCATGGAGGACAAGGTGTCTGCACTGACCTTGTTGGTTCAAGAGTCGCCGCTGCACACGCAAAAGGCTTTTGGACAGCTCATGGGTCTTTCGCAAAAGAAGAGCAGAAATGCTGCCATGCAGGCTTTGGCTGCGCTGAAGGATCTGTTGGGTCAGGGCGTTTTGCTGCCTCCGGACCGAAAGTTGAAGGCTTTTGCACGACAGCCAGGCTTGACCGCTGCACTACAAGGAAAGAACGTGCAGTGGAAGGCAGGCGATAAGCTGCCAGGCGCTCTCCAGAAAACCCATCTGATTGTGTGGGCATACGAGGATTGGCTAAAGAAACAATACTTTGAGCTGCTGAAGATCCTCGAGACATGGTCCAATGACGAAGTCGAGTACTCGCGCAACCGTGCTGTAACCTACGTCTGGGAGTTGCTGAAGGAGAAGCCGGAACAGGAAGAAAACCTTTTGCGACTGCTCATCAACAAGCTTGGAGACAAGGAAAAGAAGGTCGCATCGAGGGCATCCTACCTGTTGCTTCAGCTCCAGAACACACATCCGCTCATGAAGAACGTCATCATTAGCTCCATCGAGTCCGACCTTATTTTCCGACCGAACCAGAACGGCATAGCCAAGTACTACGCCATCATCACTCTCAACCAAACCGTTCTCAGCTTGAAGGAGCCTGAAGTCGCCAATAAGCTTTTGGAGATATACTTTAGCGTTTTCCTCGGGCTGCTGAAGAAGCAGAGAGAGCATGAGAAGGAAGAGAAGAGGATAAACAAGTACGGACACGTTCAAGGAGGTGGCGGTCAGCCTGGAAAGATGGCGAAGCAGAAGGCTGAAAAAGCGGCTACCATGGCCTTTAAGGTTGAGGACGAGTCGCGAGAGAAGCTGATATCCGCCGTCTTGACAGGTGTTAACCGTGCCTTCCCATTTGCCAAAACCGACGACGCCAAGTTCGAGGAACAGCTGAACATGATCTTCGAAGTGACGCATTCTTCCAACTTCAACACCAGCATCCAGGCCATGACGCTCATTCAGCAAATCTCCGCGACGAAGCATTACTCTGCGGATCGCTTCTATCGAACTCTTTACGAATCTCTATTGGACCCACGACTTATGACAACTTCGAAGCATATCATGTTCCTGAACTTGTTGTACCGCTCGCTCAAGGCCGATACTAGCATCAAGCGTGTCAAGGCTTTCGTCAAGCGTTTACTACAGATCATCCACATGCACGAGCCACCTTTCATCTGTGGTGTCTTGTACCTCGTCAACGAACTGATAGTTACCTTCCCTACCATCAAGTCCATGTTGTCGACTCCAGAAGACCATGCTGACGATAGTGGCGACGAGCACTACGAGGATGTCGACGAGGACAAGGAGCCAACGACTAAGAAGGAAGAAGAGAAGCCTGAACAAGTTACCTATGACTCCAGGAAACGAGACCCAGAACACGCGCATGCTGACCTGTCTTGTCTGTGGGAGCTACTACCGCTTCAAGCACACTACCACCCCTCTGTCCACGTGCTGGCCTCCAAGATTGTCAATCAGGAACCCATCAAGGAGAAGCCTGACCCGACCATCTACACTCTTATGAACTTCCTTGACAAGTTCTCTTTCCGCAACGCAAAGACCAAGGCTCAAGGTGTCCATGGCTCCTCCATCATGCAGCCTATGTCCGGAACTTCCAAGGCCGCATCTTACCTCATCACCGACCGCGATGGCGACCGCACGCACGACCCACTCAATTCCGAGCAGTTCTGGCGACGCAAGGTCGACGATGTCCGTGTCGATGAAGTCTTCTTCCACACATACTTCGAGAAGGCTGGCAAAGCCAAGCAAGCTGACAAGAAGACGAAGAAGAAGGACCGCAGGAAGGATGACAGTGAAGAGGACAGTGGTGATGAGGATGAGATCTGGCAGGCGCTTGTCAAGAGTCGTCCAGACGTTGAAGGTGACGGAGGTGATGATGATGACCTCAGCGATTTCGATATGGACGACATGATGAGCGACGATGAGGCTGGAGGCATGGACGGTGGTGTCGAACTCAACCTAGACAGTGACGATGGGGAGGATGTCGATGCCGATGAAGAGGACGAGGCTGTCGGTGGCCATCACCAGGCAGACGACGACGATGACTTTGAAAACTTCGACCTTGACGATGAAGATGCATTCATGGACAGCGATGCCGATGTTCCAGTCGAACTTAACCTGGAAGGTGATGGTGATGAGGACAAGGAGGGCGGCAAGAAGAAGAAGAGGAAGCTCAAGAACCTGCCCACTTTCGCTTCTATGGAGGACTACGCGAAACTTATCGGCGATGACGATAGCGAGTAGCTGGTTCCTTCTTTAGTTGCAGAAAAAAAAAACAGGTGCCAGGAGTGAGTCTTGTATGGTATTCTTGACACGGTTCGTCCAGTGGCGTTATTCGCTTGTCCATAGCTTGAGTTTTACTGTAGATATCCCATACCCTTGTAATGGACAATTCCGATAGACCAAGGCGGTTAGTTTCGTTCATTGTTGTTGCTAAGTCTTTGCAAATGCTCGAAGTTGGAAAACCTGATTCGCATCTACCCTTTGTCCGATTTACATTACGCAAGTGACAGATTCTCCTTATGGCTGCTGATACAGCCAATCCT